TGATGACGCAGTGAACGTGTTAAATGGAACTTTTAAATTAGGATTTGGAAAATACTGAATAATAGAAATAGTGGAGCTTTCAAAATACTTCCGACAAAAAAATCCATTCAGTAATTTTCCGTGTACGGTCGCTAAAACAACTTGTTTCTCATGCATATACCAATAGAAATTTATTTATGACTTTAACAAAAGAAATAAAGAAATATTGGAAATGGCCTTTTATGTGACTAAACGCCTATTTAAAAATCTGATTCGATTCGTTGATATTATAAATTGCGTTGTTATTTCACAAATCGAATTATTTACAATTCAAAAGTAATAGTGGAGAAAGAGTGAACAAAAGCAGCATTTTTATGCTTTAATATATTGATACTTCCTTGACTGTAAAGAAGTATTTACTGTAATTGCAATATTACTGTAGCAATATAATTTAACGGTTTGAATGAAATCATGAAATTCGTTCAAGCTTTATAACAGGATTTTTTATTTTTATGAAATATTTCAGTTATATATTTATACTAACCGAAAAAAAACCTGTTAGATAGATAAAACAGATTAAGGATGATGAGATAATTATAAAGGGACACATTTGGCTCAGTTTGTAGTACTTGCTATGCCAGCGGTCGCGGGTTCGAGTCCCGCTGGGGGCATTCATTTGTGTAATGACGAATGTTTGTACTCCAGTCATGGGTGTTTATATTTATATTTATAATATTTATAATATGTATGTATTTAAAGTTATATATGTGTAGTGTATCAACTATCTGGTATCCATAACACAAGCCTCATAGCTTAGTGCTTACCATGGAACTAGATGGCGCTGTGTCTTAATGTCGCAACATATTTATTTATTTATTTATATCTTAAAAGAGTAAAATAAATAAAATAATATTACGATATTTGATACTTATTTCATATTACCACATCAACCTCCAATCCAGTAAAATAGGTTCATAACCGGAGTGGAAGGTAAGTAGTAAAAGAAAAATACCTGGTGTAGGTACTTAGAAGACCACTAACAAAACTTAGTAATTGATCGCCATCGTAGCCGTGAATTTATTAAAATTTTGCCAAAATTGCAATTTACTATTCATAGATAAAATTAAAGCTTTGCAAAAAAGATGTAGGTCTGGGTGCGTCTAGTCACGGTGATGTTACATACAATACCGTGGTCTATTTCACTCAATCTGTCAAAGTTTTCAACGACAAAATCTTGTTTATCTTTTAATTTTAGTAGGTACATTGTGGGTAAGTATAATTTATTAATAATTTATTACACAAGGAATATGTAGACGTAGACGAAGCGTAAAATAAGCATGAAATGTATATTCTGATGATATGGTGATTTTTTTAATTCAGTTGTACCAGAGCAACCGACCTTCGCTCGAAGTAGGTGCAATTTTTTCTTTCGTAAAAGAACCTATAAAGATAAACTTAGAAAGAAAAACCGTATCTAAATACAAAATTGTATCCAAATCCATTTCTGAGATACAGAAAATAAATATACAAGTATTGCTCTTATATATTAATAGAATTGTTCAATATTAAAAAAAACTTTATAGAAATATATTATGTAAAATATTAATGCTGAAGTTTTTGTAATTATCCTATCAGATATATCTGGCGAATCACATCTGTTCCTACAGTTCAAGACACATTACAACCTTTTGTTTTTGTTATTTTGCGTGGAATAATGCAAAAAAAACTGCATGAAAACTCGAAAACACGCGTTTTCTCAGACATAAGACTAATCTCTTATCAACCCCGGAACCGCCTGTAAAATTTCATGAAAATCGTTGAAGCCGTTTCCGAGAATCAGATTATATATATATATATATATATATATATATATATATATATATATATATATATAATTTTATATACACAAGTATTGCTTGTTTAAAGATATTAGATTATACAAGTGCTAATAGTATTATTATTCGTATATTACTTCTCGTTTTTTCATCTCTTCTTTTTTAATCTTTCTTAACGTAATTATGATAATGAAACACATACAAAATTCTGTTTTATTATTCAAAAGCAGTATTATACTTTTTAAAAAGCATTGCTAATCTAGAGCGACTAGGACAATCTACATATTCATATGCATATTCGGTTTGTCTGTAACTGGAAATGGTCTGAGGAGTCGCTAATATTTGACCGTAGTTTCGCTATTCAGAAAATTAAGTGTACTTTTTTGTCTAAAGTCAAGATACCATACAACAAACAGAGAATACTATTCTGAAGAACGCTACCTGTTAATAATATAATTGTGAAAACAGTAAAAATAAAGTCACAACTTAGAAATATTGTTTAATTTACCTTACCATTTTAGAATTAATTTAAATTTTTTTTGAATTTTTTAAGTGAAACATGCAACGCTTTAAATACTGCTAATTATATATTATGTATGTATAATCAATGTAAATGTTATAATAGGCGTTTACATAATAATTTTTTAAATTAAATTTATTCAGAATAAATTGAAAACTTAGTTTGGACTTCCTTATTCTGTACTTATAAAACTAGTTCTATCTATCCATCCGGATTTTATATATTTTTGTAAGTTTAACTTAATACAAAAATCTTTAAAAATTAAAAAATATAAGATTTAATTAATTATTATTATGTAGCTTACTCATTCTCGTAGTATACGATATTCGTCGTTGCGTTTTTTGTTTGTTTGCCCTTCCGCCCCTCTCCCGTTCCGTCTTAGCTACTAAACGTTTTCATTCCGACTCTATTTTAGAGCGAGCAGTTAGTCTCTTAAGTACATAAATAATTAATATTTTGATTATATATGTAAGAAAAATCTTTAATGATTGGTTGAACTCGTAAAAAAATCTTTTTACATTTTGATTAACGTTTCATTACTGTTCTGTTTATAGTATTGTAGAAATTAATTTTAATTTTTTGGAGTAAATTCTTAATCAGATTCTACATTCATATTCGTAGGAACTTAAGTGTGATATGAACTAATCAACACACAATTTAATTGTAGTTTTATGTACCTTAATCTATTCGATTTTATTTGGATATTTTATTATAGATGATATAATTAAATGGACTTTTAATAGTTTATAGGTTCTTATAACTTAATTTAAATGCCATTTGATTTTAAAGAACGAAGCAACTTGAAAATGAAAATATAAAACTAAACAACGAAATACGTATATAAAAGGTTAAAGTATTCTAAACGCCTGTTTAAAAATCTCATTTGGTTTTTCGATATAACAATTTGCAATATTATTTCACAAATTGAATTACTAGTAGGTTCTACGGTGACACTATCCTATTAACTTTAGATTAGAAAAAATCATCTATTGGCACATGATTAGTAAAAATTGAGCACTATTATACTGTTTGTTGTATTTGTTATATATTTGCATTATTATATAGTAGGTAGTATTTATAAAATATTATAAATATGTGCCATTAACATTTTGTTATTTACGAGTATAATAAAATGTTTAATACTTTATTTATTGAGCATGGGCCTCCCTTCGATACGAGGGGGAGCAGTCCATAGCCCACCACGCTGTGCTGGCCAGTGCGGGTTGGTGATTCCCTCAGACATGCAGGTTTCCTCACGATGTTTTTCTTCACCGTAAGATAAGTGGTAATGATGTTGGAAATGATTCGCGTATGAAGATATCAGAGATGCGAGTCCCGGGGCTTGAACCCGCTTCACTAAGTTTCCCAAGCGCGTTACCGTACACGTTACCAGGCTACCACTACTTATACTATACAATTTATTTATTCATAATCAAATGTTTTTAAAAGTTATTTAGGACAAGGAATAATAGTCCGGCCAAAATAGACATTCACCCTTGCATAAATTCCCAAGAAGCTGAAAATTTATATGAACGTTAAGGATACCATTATAATAAAATTGTGAAAAGTCCCCATCGATCCCATGTGAGCAAAAATTTTTATACAAGTTCAAAGTTAGCGAAAATGGTTTTTTTGGATTTTTTAGCAAAACGGTTAGTTTTGTGATAAAATAGCTCAGACAAAAATTGTAAGTCATACAATTGACTACAAAAATTGTCCCCACACTTTTTTCCTACGATTCACCATTTCTGAGGAATGCAATTTATTTTATTATTTCTATTTTTTGAGCTAACTTGGCTGGACTAATCAGTATTTAAAAAAGGAATTTAATATATTTAAAATTTCATAACAGTTTTTAATTTGTTAAATGTATTAAATTTAATGGTTTAAAAGAAATCCTTAAATTTTATATTTATCGTTCATTGCATGATTTTTTTTTATTTTTATGTAATATTTCAATAGTATATTTATTCTAAAAGAAAAACCATGTTAGATAAAATAAAATAAAGTTTTATTCGAGTCGTAGTTGTAAAGGGTTAAAGTTTTTCTTGTTAAAAGTAAAAATATTGTTTAGCTTGCGAAAATAATCAGGGTCTTTTTACATTTATTCTATGACGTATCTACGTATTAGATATAGTGTGATTTAATAACTCATCAGAGTAAAACCATCGATAAAACAAATATAGAAAATTGCATTTTATAAGTACATAATATGCATATCACCAGACTTTGTAAAATAAATAAAACACATAGCTTTTGATACTCGTTTAGATTTATTTAAATTATTTAGTGTTATCTATACCTACTAATGTTATAAAGAGGTATAGTTTGTGAGTTTTTGAGGTTGTCGGTTGTGTGAGGTAATCTCTGGATATACTGAACCGATTTAGATGAAATTTCGGAAGGAGATAGTTTGAGACTCTGGGAAGGACATAGGGTATAGTTTTAATCCCGGAAATCATCCCTTAAGGGGGTGAAAATGGGGATGAAAGTTTATATAGGGAAGCAACCTAGGGACGTACCCGAGCGAAGCGAGGGTGGGTCGCTAGTTGTTATATAATTATGCAATAAAACACATATTTTTACCATTTTAAATAAGGATTAAAAGATGAAATAGATCAAGGCACTTTTAGTTATTTTTTATTTCACTTTATAATATTATATTATCCAGTCATATGGACCCAATAATCGTCGTCTACTTGTGCAAATTTTGTTACCTGTGAATAATATGGATGTATTTAATTGAAAGACAAACGTTTATATCTAAACTAACTTAATCCTGAGTCTAAGCAGTTTCTTAATAGTTTTACTTCCCTCCTGAACTTTCGAACTTATATATAATATTTTTGAAAGTATTCATCTAGGCATGTATACAGATAAATAAAACTAAAGCATCTGTTTCATTGGCAGATAGCTGATGTTTTAAGTAGTAACTTAGACTACTTATATTTAATAAAAAGAATTAGGGTTCCGCTGAAAAATAATAACATACCTAGCACCCACGCAGAGCGAGGGTATGTCTCTAGTATTAGTATACTGTATAAGTTTATTATTTCTTATTATCAGTACTAAAATCATAGATGATATAATACTATACTATTATTCAAACTATCTTAAATTATTTACTAGTCAAAAATTAGTTACCTGTGGCGCGAATGGGCCCTGGTGGTTTTCATGATTGTTAGCTCTGAAATTTTGTTATTTCAATAAGTCTGTTATATTGCCAAAAGTAATTAATAACTATCTGCTAATATATTATTATTTAGATAGAAAATCGGTGACTATGTATTAATATTTGCCATTTATTAAATCGGATCTGTTCCAGGCTTCAGAATGAAGAAAAATGCTATATTGTTATTTAAATGAACATGTGAATGCCTCTGGAGTTGATAATGAAACAATCATTGTGGTTTCATCATTTAGTATTAAATAGTAATTTTTAGTTAACATAAAAAAATAAGATATTTTCTTTGTGAAAAGTAACCAGAAGAATTCTTCTTAAGTTTGATTTCAAAATTAGAAAATAAACTTATGATAAGCGTTGTCGATGAAACACAAAATGTATGATAGGATATAGAAAAAAAATATGATTCTTATAACCTAAAAAACTATTTTAGCAGATATTACTTTACTTTCGTCTTATTTTCGTGGTCTAATGTTAAATATTATAATTAAAAGGCAAAATTAATAATACGTACATAGCTGAATAGGTAAGAGGGAACCCGACAATGAGTTTCCTCCTATTATCATTGTACCTTTCGTTTGAATTGGTAGAATCTTGCCCTTGCGTCAAAGACAACATACAACAAACAAAGAGTACTATTCCAAATAACGATACCTGTAAATAATATAAATGCTTAGACATAAATATTTAATAAAAATGATATAATATAGAAAATGTTATGATTTTTATTACCATTTTAAAGGTGGAGTTGTTAGAAGTGTAACTTCATATACTTTACACTAAACTAGTTATTGATATAATAAATGTGGCTATATATATGAATAAAAGGTATAATAATAATAATAATAATGTATGTATTATTATCTATACATATAATAAAATTGTAACTAAGCCGAATCTGTGCATTAAATATTTTTTGGAAAATCTTATTGAAATCGACATTATTATCGATACAGAGGCCGAATCAAGTTTTTAGAATTTTTGTCTGTCTGTTACCGCATCAAAGAAAAACCACTGGAGAGATTTTGATTAAATTTGGTATGGTGATAGCTGGTTATCCGGGTCAACATATAGGATTCTTTTTACCGCGCGAAAATGTCTCATTTCTGAGAAAAAATACAAAAACTGCAATGTAAGAGTATACTAATATGTAAAACCTAAGTATTTGATTTTTGCTTATCTGAACGCGGGCGAAGCCGCGGGCCGTGTTAGTATATAGTAATGTTTGAGTTAAATCTAATCGAAATAAATCGAAAATTTAGTTTAGGCTTCCTTATTATAAAAACCATTTTGCGTTTCGATAAAACTAATTCCTGTGAAGCTGTAAAATTTCGTACAAAAAGCGATAACGTTTTTCCCCTATTAACTATTAATTATTATAATATTAGTCTAATTTTCATGATTTTTAGTGTGTATGTTTGTTGATATAATGAAAAATTAGGTCCGTACGTTTTTATTTTAAAGAAATATTGCGTATGTTAGAAGTGATTAGCATCTAAATATCTGTAGTTTTGACTTAAAAACTTCCTCGAGCGTTTTTATTTATTTTAATTAAACTAAACTAAATTACCTAAAAAAACAAAACGTTCAGAACTAGACTAAGTTGTACTGAATCTAATGAGACCAAAATTGTCTCATTTCGTAAATGTTTAGCGGGGTGAAAACGTTATCGCCCAAAACAATATAAATCAAACAGGAAATGTAGGTAATTGCCCCTAACAGTACCAAATAGATCTTCCCAACCGGGACATGTGGCTAAAAGACCAAGAGTCTCACAAAAAGGGCAGTCATGTTTGGTTTACAGATGGATCCAAGAAAGGATCTGATGTAGGGTGCGGTATCTATGGCCTAAAGCCTAGATTTAACATGAGTATCAATCTGGGCAAAGAGGCCACCATCTTTCAAGCAGAGGTCCGCCATTAACAAATGTGCTGAAGTCATCCTGGAAAGAAAGCTTAAGAACCAAAATATCTACATCAACTCAGATAGCCAAGCAGCACTTTTGGCTATAGATTCTCTTGAGACCAACTCTAAGTTGGTCAAAGACTGTATGAATAATCTGAATGTCCTGGGCACATCCAACAGAGTTATCCTCACTGATGGGTCCCGGGTCACTCAGGTATAGACGGGAATGAAAAGGCCGATGCCTTGGCAAGAAGGGGCGCTGAAACCCCAGAATTTGGCCCCGAGCCATTTTGTGGTATTGCCAAACAACATGCCTATTCAATTCTCAAAAACCACTGCAATCTCAAAGCACTTCAAGAGTGGCAATCCACTTCTGGACAAACACACTCTAAAGCGCTAATTAAGGGATATCGCAAAACCTTTACAAAAGAGTTGCTTCAACTCAACAAGTATAAAACCAGTGCGGTAACCAGAATACTTACTGGTCACTGCAAACTCAATAAACATATGTTTACCCTCGGCCTCAGTCAAACCGCAATGTACAGACTATGCCATGAGACAGAGGAAACTGCTATGCACATTCTCTGCTCGTGCGGTCCACTCATGCACCGCAGAAGTATCTATCTAGGGCAGCATATTATGCAACCAGAAGAAATACAGATGCTCCCCGCTCAGAAAATCTGGAAGTTCCTGGAGTCAACAGGACTAAGCGGAGAACTTTGAACTCATTATAAAGGGAGCTACAATGGACCAAAACTGGTCGACGTAGCTAGGGCCGACCTCGGCACCACACCCAACATAAATAATAATAATTGCCCCTAAGATTTGCAACTCTGCCTATCGCATCATACGGGTTGGAAAAGCGAGCGGTGTAAAACAGATAGCATTTTTTTAATAACCTACTCGCGCTGCGTATCGATCCTCTTAAAAAAATCTTTCGATGAATGTTCATGGACCCAAGCATCCCTATTATTGCTACCATGAATGAATTGTGGTTAATTCGTTCATGATTCCTACCTATTAGAAATGGTGACATCGCCGTGAGACAAATTTCAAATATAGCCCTGTTCTCGCTTTTGAGCATATTGTTTGAGAACTTCTCAAATTTTGAAATCAAACCAAAACATTACTGGTGCTGTAGGAGCCTTAGAAAAGTGGAAGTAAAAATGTCCTGATGTTGACATCCCAATAGGAGTTTCCATACAAAACACTATGGAATGCGTCATTAATTCATTCTCCATTTAATTTGGCTTAAAACCTTTCGAGTGATGCCGATGAACCGTGCCAGACTTTTAGCGTTATAGGCCAAAGAATCGGGGCACTGGCTGCACGTCCTATCTTCAACTAATCTCGGTATATCTTTACGTATCGTTTAAGGTCTCCGGACGGGTACACCGCTGTGCACTGAGCACAGATGCCCGTGTGGAAAAGAGGTTGACTGCTATAGACTCCTTGGACTCTCTTGCAGAATAACTTTTCCGTCATAAAATAGATTCATTTTAAGTCATGGTTCTCTAAACGATATCATCAAAAGGGCTCTTGCCACCATTGATATTCCTGCTCTTATTGAGCCTTCTGGAATAAAATCGAAATGATTTCAAGAGACCTAATGGTCTATCGCTGGTTCCTTGAGAAAGGGGATGATCCCTATTATGTCCCATATCAGGGAGAAGTCGCCTAAAGTGGGAGCAACGGCGGAAGGGGCTGAACTACTTGAATTGAGTATAATATATATGTATATGACACCTCGTCTTATCGCCTCTATTGGGCTCGTTTCTTGTCCAAATAATCAGAAAAGTATCCTAGCCTCTATTCCACGCGGACATGACTCCATTAATTCTTATTCATGAATTTTAGGGCTATCATGAATATGCTTACAATTTATTTGTAACTTTGCTTTTTTAACCTTTATTTTGACTACAGTAACTGTTAATATAAACACGTATCGGCATAATCGCTAATTACTCAATAACACCGATTACATGAAAATGTTAATTAGATACATATATTATCATCTTTAGATCATCATTAGAGTAAACATTATGCTTATGTACTCGTAAGTTAGTATGCCCCATCTATGTATAACGATTTTTCGAGTTTTTAAAATTCACGTTTTTTAATTTTACAATAAAAAAATTAAAATTTATATTGTAATTATTTTCCTTATAATATATTATTTTAAATATTTTTAAAAGTAAATCAGGTGTTTCAGTATTTACAATTCATTCACCGAAGTAATAAGAAGTTATAAACTTTACACGTCATTTAGTCGTGTAATTGAAAATATCAGTGAAGAAATATAATTTAACGGTTTGAATGAAATCATGGAATTTTCCAGTCGCTGTTTATTACAAGCGTTTTTGATTTTCTTTTTTATGCAATATTTCAACAATATATTTATTTTAACCGATGAAATTTTTAGCGAAAACAAAACAAGGTATGCCTAATTTCAATTTAATAAATAATAGCCATCATTTTCAAGAGTGATTTGTTCTAAATAAAAATAAAAAAAAACATACTGCTCTGTTTACCATAAATAATGGTTTTATAAAATTTCTAATAAGTATTAATTTTATTGAATTATGTTCTTAAATTCGTCAAATAGATGGAAGAATAAAATTATATGGTTATTCAATTTTAGTTAGTAGTTATATAAAATTCATATAATGTTTATTAATTATACGTAAAAACTTAATAAACCCTAAAACGATACGACTTGTAAATGCCTAATTTTCATAAAAATTATCCATTGTGAATGTTCCCAGTTTTCTATAATTTCAGTAACTACACTATAAATACTCGTATATCATTCAATGAATCAAGGTATCACAATCCCAAACGTAAGTCCATATTGATCTTAAATGGTGATAAAGGTTTAAGAACTAAGAGCAAGGACGAGCCTAAGAAGATTACTAGTTTATTGTATCAAGAGTTTGATGACGACGGTAAAGTTATAAACAAGCATGAAATGTATAATCTTGATGATGTGGTAATATTTTTCAAGAATTTTTTGGATACACAAATTTGTTATGTGGAATGTGATTAGAAAAATTGATGCAAGAGATTTCTAGTTCTGCTTCTATATAGATATATGAATCTGGGGTTACTTAAATATTTGATATGAAATTAAACGTTTGTGCCTAAAGAAAAAGTCTAATTATTTTTTTAAGAAAATAACAGGAGCAGTGCACCAATGGTAGCTAATAAAAAAAAAAATTGATAATTTAAAACAATTTTGGTAATTTAAACGTTGTCTTTTTGTTGTGTTTCAAAAACCAAATCACTAATAAAACTGCGTAATACAGTAAAAAAATATGAAGAATAAATTTCTTAGCTTTTTTATCGGCGTAAGGGCATTGTGTATTTTAATAAGGCAACAGTGGCGAAGGGTCCATACAAGACGATTCCCAACGTCTTACCTTTTAGAAATCCAATAATTCATCATTCATTTTATAAATATTTATTTTTTGAATTAAATTAAAAATAGAAATAATTAATAATAAAAAAAACTAATATAATATTATTACTACATCTATTTCTGAAAATAATATAATGCCTACAAAACTCAAAAAGCAATGTCACGCTTGGAGCGCAAAATGTATTTTTTTGCTAAGACGTTTCTTGATTCTTCATAGAAATGCGACGATAAGAGGTTGTATTTTTAACCGATTTCCAAAAAGGAGGAGGTTCCCAATTCGTCGGAATCTTTTTTTATGTATGTTAACCGATTACTCGAAGACGCCTGAACCGATTTGGATTTTTTTTTGTTTCAAAGGATCGACTTCCCAGGTGATCCCATATAAATTTTATAAAAAAAGTAAACAATAAATATTTTTTTAAATAAAATGTGTTTAATCGAATATGTTATTAAAAAACTTTCTTCTTACAAATTACCTGCTTATTACGTCTGCACTAAAAAAAAACCGACTTCCAGGCACTAAAATGTAAAAAATAACAAAACGGAGGTTTTCATTTAGAATTACCTAATCAGATATTTTCGAAGTCGGTTTAGTTATTTATAAATTCTTTATTGCACACATAAAAATAACATGAAAAGAAAGAGAAAAGTAACAGAGAGGTATACAAGGGCGATCTTATTGTTATGAGTACTGAGCAATCTCTTACAGATAACCTTTAGTGAAACGGTTAATGAAGGACAATCCATATTACATATATACATGCTAAAAAATATACACACAAAAAAAATATTTCAAATATTAAATAAATACATATAAACGTATACAAATATATACACTACTAGCGATTCACCCTGCTTCGCTTGGGTTCGTCCCTAGGATGCTTCCCCATAGAAACTTACACACCCATTTTCACCCCTTTAAGGGATGATTTCCGGGATAAAAACTATCCTAATAGGGTCTCTAAATATCTTCTTACCACATTTCATCTAAATGGGTTAAGTAGTTTCGGAGCCTGTTTGATACAAACAAACAAAAAAACAAATTTTTCCTCTTTATAATATTAGAATAGATAACGAAAGTGAAAGATAATAATGACTGAGACGACGTTTAATTTTTTTTAGCGATTTTGATTGGCAAACGTCGCAGGGGAGCATGTCCCATAGCTTTACAGCTTTAACACTGAAAGAGTTGCTATTTGTGGCGCAAGATGGTAATTTCAGACGGTTGCCTCTAAGAGAGACTGCCGCTCAGAGCCTTAGACTCTGATCCTACGAAATTGATGCATTCCTTTAAGTTAGAGGGAGTAGTAAGGTTATAGAGGATGGAGAAAAGGAGGGAAGAACATACAAATTGCGCCGATGTCTAATTGAAAACCATTTTGGTTGCATACGGTATTTGGAGATGTGGTCGAATTTATGCAAACCGAATATGAATCTAATGCACATATTCTGCAGATGTTCGAGTTTGTTAAGCTGTTCCTCAGAGATGTCAAGGTAGTAGTAATCAGCATAATTTAACATGAATAGCAGTAGCGATTGAGCTAGTGCAGTTGTATCTATGTATGTATGTATGTACATTGTACGTATGTATGTCCAATCCTATGATCATAGGGGGAACTCCCGTAATTACTAATTGGCTTAGCCGATTTTATGATTCATACATTGTTCGATTCGTCTTGACAACGCGACTGTCATAGGGTATATAGATACAATTAAAAACCAAAATTGCCGATCTTAGACGCCAATTAGTGTGTCTTGAAAAATTTTTTATCGCCCGAATTAATCGAGTGGGTTACCAAAACATAAGTTTAAAGAAGCTATAACAATGTAAAACTTATATTTTTAAAAATAGGATCTAAAAAAATAGGATAGATCTAGGATAAAGAATTGTTAAATAATACTAAATATAATTTTATGACTAAAATTAAAAAGCTGTAAATAAATTAATTAGCAAAATTATGAAACCCGACTGAGTAGAAAGTGAACTATAAAGATGAGAAGAAGTTGATGTAGGATTTAATTTTTTATTAATTTCTTTATGTCACATCTAATCTAATTGTTTATTATTTAGGTACTAAAGCTGGTAAATATGTACATGAAGAAGAAGAATTAGACTTAAGTGAAACGACTAATATAACGCCTTTTAGTTGCTTAATATAATATCTCAACGTAAATATTGCTTTTTAAAAGATTTTGCATATTACATTAAATATTTAACATAAAATGATTCACATAAAACTATTGTTATAAATAATCAGAATTGTTTTTGTGATAAAGACCCCTAAACTATTTTCCAATTTATTTCGATTAGATATAATACAAAAGTTACTATATAAATAGCTATTACTTTTGTTTCTAACTATTGTTTCATTTGCAACGCTGCCAGTACACTTCAAATTTTATTTTGCGTACTTTCTTATTCAATCCTTTTCTACAATGGTAAAAATGGTAAGAGAGATTCCTTTGACTTGGATTTGGAGACAAAAATTATTGCTGTACTATGTCGTTATTATATATTTGTCTAAACATTCTTATTGTTTATTTACAGGTAACAATTTTCGGAATAGTATTCCTTGTTTGTTGTACATTGTCTTTGACTCAAGGGCAAGTTCCAAAGAATGAAGAGTATAAGAGAAATGTTTTACTACCGCATGCATATGTAATTTTGTAAGTATTTTAATATTTATGTGTTTAGGAAAATATGTGTTCAGCCCTTTTTAACGTCCCACTGCTGGGCACTGGCCTCCATTTCATTACGACGGGGATCAGGTTAAAGCCCACCATACTGGCCAAGTGCGGGTTGGCCGACTTTTCCATGTCTTGTTTTCGTGCAATGTATAAGATTAGTGGTAATATATGTTGGGAATGATTCCCACATGAAAATATATCCGAGTACAAAAACAGCTTAGGAAGTGTGTATATATGTGTATGTTTATTACTCCTTTACACTGAAATGGCTGGACGTATTTGGATAAAGTTTAGTATACAAACGGACTATTATTTGGAGTGACACAGAAAGACGTGAGTAGTTAATTTTAAATTAACCGCCACTAGTTAAAAAAAAGCAAATGGGATAAATTTGACATTGGACATTGTGATAGTAAAAATTTAATCCAATAGCATTTTCTTATTAAGTATATTTATAGGTGAGAAGTTTTTCAATTCATTGACAATCGATTTTTTCAAATATTGTTATATATTTTTAATATTAATTGGCTATATTCTCAGATAAAATTTGCCTGAGATAAATATAATTACTTACTTTTGTATAAGAATTGTAAATATCGGGTTCTTGGATGGTTGTGTTTTTTCAGTCCCTAAACTTTAATTTTAAGTTTCGTTTGGAAAAGGCAAAAACGGAAACCTTAAAATCCATTAAAAAAGTTAGTATGTCACAGCGATCCGCTGAAATCCGCTACGCGTTTGATCTATAGAACGCCATATAGGAACATACATACATGCATAGATTGATAAACACATTACCCTTTGTGTCGCGCACTCGGGTAAAAAGAACGGGTGCATGAATTAGTTTACTACAAATTGGTACTACAAACTGAGCCAAACGTGTCGTCGTTTTGTTTGAAAGGTGAATTAGTCGGGAGTGTTCTTAGCTATGTTTGATGAAAATCGGTCCAAGATGGTCGGTGTTTGTTTATATTTTTAATTTTATTTAGTTATAAATAAAATGAAATTTCAGAGCCGAAAAACGTGAAAACGATATGCCGCATTCAGTGATGATGACCAAGGAGGTAACTACTTTGTTTCTAATTAGTTAATAATTAGGGTAGGTATAGGCATATAATATGTAATATGAGGACAGTAAGTTCTCTGATAAGTGCCACCTGTTATGGATATGTATTTATTTAAGTGACAACGGTTGGTTCTGTTGAGACTGAGTAGACGTTTTGTTAGTCGCAGGTTTACTGCAGGTCCGTAAAAGAAACGAGGTGAGGATTATGGGTCTAAAAGATTTCGCCTGGGTATAGTCCGTCCTACCTGGTTTTGGGATGAAGATGATTTGAACTTACCACCATTTCAAAGGCTTAAAACACTCTTTTACATTCACATATTAATTTCTAATCAATTTTTTTACAGATGCTAGACTCGGCAGAAGGCAAGATACCTTACGAAGTGTTGGCATCGTTAGTGGGATAATTTATCCGTGGTAAACATTTACATGCTCCAATAAAATTATGAACTTATAAAGTTATTTTATTGTTATTTAATTTCTTGATGTCATAGTATATAGTCATAATTATTAAATTTAAGATCTATTGATTCAAGAGACTCTTCTTTTCTTTATCTTAAATACTATATAATAAATGGCTGCAGTTTGCAAACCCAGAAACCCTAATATCATAAGTGCAATTTTATTTTAAATTTGGTGATAGTTTGGACTCAGTAGACGACATATCAGAATATTTGGAATTGTCAAAATGGCAGCAAATGTCATAATAATCTATGCATCGGCGCAGGACGGCCAACATCAGAATTATTCACTATAGTGGGCGTGAACTTAAATAATGTCTTTTAACAAATACAGTAGATTTAATCAACTAAGTAAATTACACTTTACAGACTCAGAACTGTGAGAAAAATGTAAAAAAACATAAAAGAACATTTTTCTCATACATTTCACATTAAGAATGATAGAGGTTCATACAATCTTTTATCAGCTATTTTAACCCCTCAGGGGATGAATTTCGAGAAATCCTTTCTTATCGGATGTCTATCACATATGAGGAATACGTCCTCCAAATTTCACGTTTCTACGATTTGGACCTTAGCACAGCCTAAGTGATTTGATCCATCAGTCAGTCAGGACAAAGTCTTTTACTTGTATTTATATTATAGATTATAGAATAATGTGTATTCTGCAACACAGATTATACACGACGGCTGAATGAACGGCGAAATGTACATAGTGGGTTTTTATTTTTTTTTATTTGAAGTTTTTTTCATGTTACAATTTTCCGTCGTGGGTTTTTTTTTAATTTTTAATTAGTTTTATTTGTGGCCTTATTTAAATTTTCAATTTTTTGTAGTAAATGCAATGCATTTATTTAAATATTAAACTTTCTTATTTTTAGTTAAGCAGTAAAACAAACTGGCGATTCCCGTTTCCGTGAAAAATGGTAACAGACATACACAACTACCTCTTACCCTAAACGCATATACCGTCTCCGTGGTCGTCGCGGGCAAAAAAACGTTTTATTTAACAATTTCTTAACGTAAATTATTTTTAACACACGAGTTTTTATAATATTTTTGTAATCGCCTCTTAGAAAACTGTATTTTGATACACAACTCGATTAATTCGGATGATATTTTTTTTGTACGTACGCAAAAAAAAATCTTACATATGCATACATGGGCCTATGCACATAAATATATACATACCTACATATATACATACATACGTACATATCAAAAACATAACCCTCCTTTGGGCTTCGCCGCAATCGAGTAAAAATCAACAAATAACACTCATAGTAACATAATAGTTTATTATAAAACGGTTATGAAAAAGAAAACATATTATGAAACAAATACCTATGCAATACACAATTTTAATGATAAAAACTTTCTCAATCAATAGTTCTAATATTTTAACCCAGAAGTGATGCTACCACTTGAGGTGGAACAGCCATTCGTTGGAGTTCATCATAATCCTGTAAATCAATACATATTATTAAAATTAATCATTTTCAGACTAGTATTTTTTCTTAAAAATAAAGGTAAGTGTAAAGTAAGTACATACATACATACATATTTATGTACAAATCTTAAATTGAAAAATAAATTTAAATTTTAAAAAAATTAGGAAGGCGGAATATTGTGAGATTAAAAAAACTTCAAATAAAAAAAATCAAAACCCCACGACATCAAAGCGTAATATCCTTAATATATATTTATTTTATTCTGTTTTTTAGTACTTGTTGTTATAGCGGCTACAGAAATACATCATCTGTGAAAATTTCAACTGTCTAACTATCACGGTTCATGAGATACAGCCTGGTTTTCGATGGACAGACAGACGGACGGACAGCGGAGTCTAAGTAATAGAATCCTGTTTTACCTTTTGGGTACGGAACCGTAAAAACATAGTATAAAAATATGTTGCACCAAAAACGGTTAAATATAATTCTTATTAATGAAATTAAACTATACATACAATAAAATTCTAAATGAAGCGAATCTGTACATTACATATTTTTTGGAAAATCTTTTATTGAAATCGACTTATTGTCGATACAGAGGCCGAATCTATAGATTTTAGAATTTTTGTCTGTCTGTCTGTCTGTTACCGCATCACGGAAAAACCATTGGAGGCATTTTGATGAAATTTGGTATGATGGTAGCTGGTTATCTGGGTCAACATATACGAGTAGGATACTTTTTACTGCGGGAAAATATCTCATTTAAGAGAAAAAATACAATAACAGCAATGTAAGAGTATACTAATATGTAAAACCTAAGAATCTGGTTTTTGGTCATCTGAACGCGGGCGGAGCCGCGGGCAATGCTATTAAAAAATATAAATACTAAATTACACTACCACAATAAATATTAGTACCTGGGCTACCGAGCTTCGCTCGGAGTTTTTGGTCTAAAGTACAATTTTCTTTTAAAAAAAAAAACAAAAAACTTGAATCAATATTAAAAAAAAAACAAAAAAATTTAAAGTAAAAATTTTTTATCCGACCGAGACTCGAATCTGGACGGACAGCTGTGATTGTCGATCTTGCTCCTTGGTCTCTTGATCACGATGCTTATACCAGAGCGTGCCAAATTACCGATCATATTTTGTGTGGAATAATGCGAAAAAAAACCGCATGAAAACTCGAAAACACGCGTTTTCCCAGACATAAAACTTATCTAGATCGATTTATCGCCCCCGCAACCCCTGTATACTAAATTTCATGAAAGCCGTTGGAGCCGTTTCCAAAATTCAAGAGAAAAAATACAATAACTGCAATGTATACTAATATGTAAAATCTAAGAATTTTGTTTTTGGTCATCTGAACGCGGGCGTAGCCGCGGGTAATGCTAGTATTTATCATAAAAATTGTAAACGTAAGACTTAGCGTAAGTATACTGCAAACACTGAAGTTAAATAAAAAAATTAAAAAAACCGATCAAGTACGAGTGGGATACATGTACCGAGAGTTCCGTACCACTAAAACATATTTGTGGCGTGTACTTTTTTAATAAAATATATCATATTATAATTATCTATCTTAAATACCATATAGGTTGAAAAACCTAGTTCAAATTCAAGCCATGTGTTTTAGTCAGGTTTTTTATTTATTATTTAGGCTTAATGCTTTAACCACGACAAGTTTGCATTTATTATGTAATTTTGTTTTTTTTAAGTAACTCAAACAGTACGACGTTTTTTGCGTGCGCTGCTTTAACGATTCTGTTTATGAGTGAAAAAAATATATAGCAAATACGAGTATGTACTTCTCTAATAGTTATACAAAAAAACCACATATCTCACTTTTATATTTTAGCTGATAATTAATAATACATTAAAAAACTAGATTTGTAGCGGATATTGCTTCCCCATACAAAGTTTCATCCCCATTTTCACCCCCCCTACTAACACTACCCTAAACTAACTAAAAACTACCCTATGTCATTCCCAGAGTCTCAAACTATCTACTTACCTCATAATCGGTTCAGTAGTTTTGGAGCTTATTCGGTACAAACAAACAAAAAAAATCTTTCCTCTTTATAATATTAGTATAGATATTTTGTTTTCTTATAACTTACCCATCAAAAACATTCTGTAAAAATATTGCAAGTCTCGCAACGCATTTCTTCTACCGCAAAAAGCTATGAGATATAATGTAAAACCAAGTCGGTTAATTTATTCATTACCTATCTATGGAAGCATCTATCCGACAACTTTGTCATAAATCGTTACCGAATTAGTTAAGTTACAACATTTTATAGTGACCGTAATAATATTAGATATGTTTATTTCTTTAATTAATAAAATGACTTGGCCATCGCACGGAAACATAATCACATAAGAGTCTACTACTTTAATTAAATAGTCCTAATTAAACATACCATGACCAAGGTGGACGGACGAGTTGGTCAAAGTCGCTGGAGCCCACTGGATGCGGATGGCACAAGACTGGTTGTCGTGGAAATTTTTGGGGGAGGCCTATGTCCAGCTGTGGACGTGTTTGGGCTGAGATGAACTGAACATAGCACTAGCAGGTCAAATTTATGCATGCACTAACATAAATAATGTACTCAGAACGCTAGTATGAGGTAAATTTTGTTATTTGTAGGTTCTATTATCATGTGCGATGGCCAAGTCATTCTATTAATTAAAGAAATAAATATATCTAATATTATTACGGTCACTATAAAATGTTGTAACTTAACTAATTCGGTAACGATTTATGACAAAGTTGTCGGATAGATGCTTCCATAGATAGGTAATGAATAAATTAACCGACTTGGTTTTACATTATATCTCATAGCTTTTTGCGGTAGAAGAAATGCGTTGCGAGACTTGCAATATTTTTACAGAATGTTTTTGATGGGATCTCATTTCTTTTTGTAAATATTTCTTCTTTTTCTCTTTTCTTGTACTATTTCTTGTGTGTCAGCTAAGGAATTTTTTAAAAGCCCACTCCTTGTCTCTGTGGGCTTTTTTCAGAGGCTTTGATATAACAAATTTTGACAAGTCTGGATGATAAAATATCTAAGTCTATTGTATTGGGAAATTGCGGATTCCTAGACTTTAATACTACTATCTTATGCATTAAGTATAAATATGTATAGTTAATTTAACGAATATTTTAATTTAATTGTTGACCCTAACTAAATACCTTTTTTTTTTTTTTTTTTTTATGTCGGGAAATGCATTTACGCATACCACCTGATCCCCCAGGTGGTGATGTGGGGCTCACCGGCTAGAAGAGCCGGTACTACCCACTAAAACCCGACATTCCCCTCCCCTCCGCCTTAATGGGACGCCGCAGGATCGCTTGCGCATAACTACTACGGCGCCCCGGCGGCAGGTCTGCCTAAAAAGGCAGACCACCAAACCAATGGGGCTGCTCCACAGTCAACTCTGCTACGCCAGAGAGGTACCCGGAGCAGCCCCATTAAACCCAACCACCGCCCACCGAAGTGGGCCACCTCCAATCGGCTGCAGAGGACAGGGAGAGCGGCAACGTAACAAAGACACTCCTCTTCCCCTGCAGCCCCACCGCGTCCGCCATCGAACGGTGGCGGCCCCGTCTAGGCCGCGGAAGGTAGGGAGAACGGCGCACCGAAATACCGGCACTCCTCTCCCGCCGCGGCCTACTCCTCCGCCGGATGCGGGCCTGCGACCACAGTCCCGCAACCGGCACCCATCATCTGGTTGTGGGACCAAGCGGTCCCACCACCGGTGGCCGCAACGTCTTCGGCTCGAGGCCTAGACGAGCGGCCCCATCCAAGCCATTTGGTCCGCGCCGGATTTCTCCGGTACCACCCGCCGCCCTAAGCGGGTGGCATTCCCCTATCCGCCACCTGGGGACGCGCCCGGTAGGAGTTGGCTTCTCCCCCGGGCCCTAACTAAATACCTACCCCGATACTGATATTCAACTTACATAAGTTTAATAAGACGTAAATCGTACGTTAATCGTAGTTAAGTCCCGAAAGTTGTATTCCATTCCATTTTAAAAGTAATTTTCGAAGAGATTGATATTTCATGACCTCTATATTCCATGGTATAATACGTGGGTACGTACAGTTACGAGCAATGTTGACAAGGTTTTCTAAATCATATCAACATCATACTTTGTAAAAGAAAATGTACGAGCTTTGTTTCAAAATTAAGTAATCGTCAAGTTGTTTCTTAATTAAGTATATATTTTAATCAATTCATTATAAATAACAGTAATCGAATATTAGTAGGTATAAACTATACACGCTTCACATTACATTTATGTACCCATTTGTATATGCATAAAAATGTATACAGCTACTAAAAAAGCTTAAAATATTATTTTCGCATTTAAAAAATACTTTTCTAATACTTATAGTTGCAAATATAAACATTAATAAATAGACGAATCGAAATTAGGTTAGTAATTACGGGGGAACATAGGATCGGACATACAAACCTACAGGTAAAACATTAACCTAACTTCCTTTTACAGTGCAACTATTGTATAATTAATTAATTTACTATCTTTATATATATAATTCTTCTGTGAGTGTGTATGTCACTGAACTTCTCTCAAACGACTGGACCGATTTTGATGAAATTTTTTGTGTGTGTTCAAGGGGATCTGGGAATGGTTTAGATTCACAATTGTACACGGTAGGTGGCGCTGCTGTCTGTGTGACAAAGGGTTTGTTTTTTTTAGTAGTTTGATCGCGGGCGAAGCCGCGGGTACAGCTAGTTAATTATAAATTATATTAGAATATATGAATGAGGTGAAAAAAATAAAAGTAAGATATCGGGTATTAAAAAAATAATATTTAATTTAAATAATAGAAGGAAAAAATAGTGTAAATTTAATTAAAATATTTTAGTTTAAGTGACGAAAAATGATATGTATGAACTGCAAAAATAACTTTGTAATCCCATATATCGGATATCTATTTGTATAGGATTACAAAGTTACTTATGCAGTTTGTATATCTCGAAAACAGCATTGAAATTTCGTGACGTTTGAGTTTTTCCTTCTATTATAGGCTAAACACTAATTGTGTTCAAAATTTGAAGCTCCTATGTCTGCTAGAAGTACCTTAGAATTTTGATGATCGGTGAGTGAGTGAGTGTGTGAGTGACGATATTAACGAATTTTGATCTGCAACAGTTCTTAAACTACAGGTTCAAATTGAATGTAATTTGGAAATATGCCTAGTTTTATTATGTTCTTTTAGTCCCTGAAAATTCAGGCTTCTAGCTTTATCCATAACGAAGTTATGGGGGGGTGGAAAATGCTCTGAATCGCTTCGAGAAAAGGATGGTACTGTCGTGCCCTTTTTTGCTCGACTTGGCGGGGGCACTCCGTGCCCCCCGATTTGTACAATAAAGAATATATACTGTTTTTCATTAAGTAATATTTAGTTGATTATTTTGACTATATAATATTAATCCATATAAAAATAAATTATAATCGTCACGAGTACTAATAAAAACCAAATTTGCCCTTTACTGTACATTTGGTTATATAGTTTAGCAAATAATAAAAAATGAATACAAATTACGGCACAAAGATATTATCTATTATATAGAGACCCCCAAGTCTCTTATAATTTCATTTAGTGTAAACTCTTTGTTTCACTTTGTGTGTTAAACACTTACCTCAACGGTAGTAGTTTCTACAGTTGGTGTAGTAAAATCTTCACTTATTTCAGTTACTTCTTCAGTAATTTTTGCACCTTCCGAGTTATCTTGAGAGCTCACTGAAGTTTGATTATCCTGAACTGCATCGACTGTAGTTTTAGCATGAGAAGCAGGAGTAACGCTATCTTTATTTATGTTTTTAGTTGACGATGTGTCTTCAGATCTAGGTGTCCCAAAGTTACTTTCCATAAATGAATTTGAACGATATCCATCATTTGAGTTTGTAGCGTACTCGTTTGCATAATTCCCTAGTCTTAGGTGTGCTGAAGAATATATAATTTTCCTAAATTTTGGTAAACCTGTAATTGGAAACAATCTAGAAGTACTTTTAATTAGTATTTTATTTTAAATATAACTAATACGTTGTATAGTAGTTAATACATACATTTTTCTTGGTTCAAAAGAATAAAAACCTATATTTTGATTATGTCTGAAATATTTAACACCATTAGACTCTTCATTGTGGTTAATTTGTGCGTAAGACATCGATAAAAGGCTTACAAGTAGTATTATGTTCAAAAGAAATACCTGTAAAAGTAAAAATGCAACTATGTATATAATAAAAAACATAATAAGCATTATAAGTCAAGTAATTTTCCTCACCATTTTCGTTTAATCTTTAAAAATTCCACACAAAACCAATAGCAATTCTCTACTTAATTAGTTTAATAAGTAAAGTGTAGTACTGCACTGTTGAGTGACAAGTTATAGCAAATACAAGCACTATCGAAATAATATGCTGGAAACAACTGATCAATAGCAGCAACACTTTGAATATAAGGTTATACTTATTACTGAGTCAAGACTTCTCGGAATAAATTATAATTTAATCATGTTTGGGGTTCATTGAAGCAAATTGATTATATAATATAAGCCTCGTATCATTTTAGTCTAATTTTTCCGGTATTGGCATGATTGTTCATCATATTTATTTTGTATCATCTTCAATTATCTATCTTTCTAACGAGTTTGATAGAAGAGTCAGATTCATTGTGCTTCAACTAATTTTTGTAACTTGTATTGGACAAGTTAATTCAACTATAATTCAGTGATTTATATACTCTGCTTCTTGCGTGACCATGTTTGCTTTAAAGGATTCAAAACGTCGGGACTAATAAAAGTATTAAATAAAAAATAAAACCACGAGAAGAAAAGAAAAGATTTCATTCTGTTTTATTGGACTTTTTGTTAAAAATTTGTTAGGTATGTCCATATATTAATATATGCTATATTTATAGCCTAGTTACTCACCTAGGGATTACCCAAGAATAAAATAACATGTAATTAACTTGCTGTTGATGGTGGTTTAAACAGGTATTTTAGTTAAATTAATTAAATAATATAATCAATCGCGGAAGATCGCATATAAAAATGTAAATAATATGGTTTTCGATCAAGATTTTATATTGTTTTTTCACAATAAAATGAAATTAAGCGATTTTAATTAATATTTATGTTAATTTTCCGTTAAACTTTTTGTCCCCAGATCTTTATTTAGGCTATTAAGTTTATTGCTTCAGTTTGTACAATAAAAAGGGCAGTAGCTTTTTCAAGTAATACATACATTTCTCTTCCTGGCAGCAAGTTGTCCTTGCTCGTATTAGTTTTGCCAAAGTAATCCGATAATTTATTCATACAACTTTTCGAAGATATATTGTATTTATTTTATTTTAATGACCTCTATATCTATATTTAATACGACATATTTTTTAACGAGCAAAAGATCAACATTATACTATGCCATAGCAATTAGAATTATAAATTGTGGCCTCGTTTCAATTAGTTTAATGTATATAAGAATGTAAACTTTTCAAAATACCTATTATGCCATTCAATACTTTTAAATCATTTCCTTCCTTACAACAGAGGATATTACCATATACATATATTAGAAACCTTGTCTGCCAACCCGCACTTGGCCAGCGTGGTGGACTATGGCCTGATCCCCCCTCATATTGAAGGGAGGCCCGTGCTCAGCAGTGGGACGTTAAGAAGGGCTGAATACATACATATTAGAAACAATATTGTAATAAAATTTCAAAAAGGTACAAATGAATGCATTCGGAGGATGCAGAACCTGACAGGAAATAAAGCTTATTCCGATGTAAACATTAGTATGGTTTTTATAAACTTTTGATGGCCTTTTATGATGATTGTCTATTGTAGTTTTTATATTTAATATACTCGTACATATACGTCACCGCAACTTTTGATTATCACTTTCGTGTGTCTTATTATAATACCTGTATTTTAGAGTAGATTTCCTTATTTATAAAAGTTGATACAACTAATCTATAGGATAAAACAGTAATAACGAATCAAAACAACGTTTTAAATTTCACAAAAGGATTTCTTTATAACAATACTGATATTTTGAATATTTATATTAAAATTTATAATTTAGAAGTTGAAACAGTTTTAGAGGAATGGGGTTCGGCTTCGCACGCGTAAGGCCCGTTCGCACTTGCAGCACTGTCTTGAGCGAATCCCGCGGGTGTCGACTGGCCGCGTGAGACGAGTAATGTTGTTCAATCTGTATCTGCCATCATCCATCTGAAGTAAGCCCAGCTTCACGCCTCGTTTTAAAGCTCTGAAGAAGGCATTAGTATTATTTTCATATGGCTCCAATTTAAAAAGCTGTAGTATTCTATATTTGAAGTAAATAGAGTAGGATATATTAATTTTTTTTAGATCATGTATTTTATTAAACTATTTAAAATTTAGAACAATTATTATATATGTTTTAAACATAAAGATAATCAATGGTATTGTCTTAGATTGTATTGAAGTCTCTAAAATAGTTTTGCAAAGATTCAGTCACTATTCCTTTACTCTTTTTTATTTTTTGGGAAATATCGTAATATTATATTATATTCGTATGTAACTCTATTGGAGTTTCCGACCTCATTGAAAATATTATAAATACTAGCGACTCACCCTCGCTCCGCTCGGGTTCGTCCCTGGGGTGGGGTCTGGGAGGACCACCCTTATCCTTATCACTTAGGGGTATGTAAAATAGATAGTAGCCGATTCTCAGACCTACTGAATACGCATATAAAATTTGGTAAAAATCGGTAAAGCCGTTTCGGAGGAGTACGGTAACTAACATTGTGACATGGAAATTTTATATATAAGATGTTGCGCACACAAAAGCAATGTTTGTTATTATCTAGTCATTTAAATAATGGAAAAGTGCTATTATAAAAAATGTGCTAACTTCAATTTAGTCGAAAGGAATTAATAGAAGTTGACTTGAAAATAATAATAAAAAACATTTAAAACCTTCGAAAGGAAGTAAATATAAATAAACAAATTATGCTACGAGTAGCTTTGTGTTAATAAGTTACCTTGACACTTTTCGACTAAATTTGGGATCTTGAATTTTATATTCCATTTTGACAAATTTTACAATCGTTCTAGTGGTCCAACCAGTATTCTTTGTCAATTTCTTTAGAGCTGACAAAACGACAACCCCAGTGTTCAAAGAAGACCTCTTAGTCTTACCCATTATGTACCTAAGAAACAAACATAATTTCAAATTTTTATTTTATGATAAAATAGACGTACAGTAATAAACATATATGATTTATTCAATTAATTTTACCTAAAAATTAAATGTCATTTAATAACTAAAAAAATATATATAATTTTTGTTACAAGCTTTATGTGACATTAATCAAATTATTGATTTCTTTACTTCTGTCATAGATAAAATGTATATTTTTTTTATGGAACTAATATTATTTATGGTAATATTTTCATACTTATAAATATCTTGTTAAAGATAAATTAAAAAGTCAAAAACAAATTATAAGAAGATTATAGAACTACGTTCCCACCCTAGCTTTGCTCAAGGGCGTTTCCAAGTACCTTTCATTTCTACAAGTGTTAATCTCACGTAGTCAATGGTAAAGTGCTCGCTTGGGAAACCAAGTGAAGTGAGTTCAAATCCCAGATCTTGCATATCTGATTGATCTAGGTATCTATTTTGTGCGAACCATTTCAACATCATTACCATTTGTCTTACGATGAAGGAAAATATCGTGAGGAAACCTGCATGTCTGTCATCTAAGAGAACCTAACAAGTTTTTGAAAGACATGTAAAGTCATCCAAACCGCACTTAGCCAGCATGATGGTCTTATCCCTCTCCTATTTAAGGGGAGCCCGAGCCAAATGAATTCAAAAAATGAAAAATATATTTTTTATTTGTAAATGTATGTAGTAATAGTGTTGCTTAATATTTTGTTTTTAAAATAATAGCAAACTAAATTAAAATTATTATTCTTAAACTTTTTAAATTACACATAGAACGATTATGTGGATTAAATAATTATTATTTTATTTTTTCTTTATATTATATGTTTATATTTAACTTATCATTTCTTTCAGATACAATTAATATTGTTCGTACAGATTCTTGTTATTTGCGTTAAATTTAAACTAAATTATTGATATAAATTGACGACACGTTTGGCTCAGGGCATTTATTTGTGTGATGAGCACGAATGTTTGTACTCCAGTCATAGTTGTTTATATTTATAATATGTATGTATTTTAAGTTATATATGTGTAGTGTATCAACTATCTGGTATTCATAATATAGGCCTCGTAGCTTAAAATGGAACTAGACGGTGCTGTGTGTTAATGTTCAAACAAAAAAAAAACATTACTAATCGAACGAAGAAAAATAAGTAAAACAAAGTTAAATATATATAAATAAATAGTAGTAATATATATATATATATTTTAATTTTTTAACGTTCACAAGCAGATTGCTAAACAGATAATATATTTGGTGGAATAGGAGAGTGTTGTTGTGCTTTTATTTTAGTCCAAAGATAAATTCTAATAAAAAAATATTAATAAATTATTAAACTATTTTAATAGGAGAGGAAATTTTTAATGGGAAGAATAAAACAAAAGTTTAGAAAGTCTTTCATTTATTCGAGCTATTATTAACCAACAAGAGACGCGATTACTGCAGGAGGCACTGCACCTCCCGGGCCTTGTTCGATTGTAGGTTGGAAGCCGTTGTTATCAGCGATGTATGTGACAGTGTAGGTAATTCCATCGGGTGCTACCCACGAGTATGAACCTTTCACCGCAATAGACTCATCGTCAGTACCCGCATTTCTTAATTCACCTTGTTCCTCTCTCCTTGAGTTATCGCTTTGTTCATATCTGTAAATAACAAATGTCATGGATACGATTTTGCCGAATAAACATAGTCCAACAACTTTGCTAAGTTTTTAAGATCAGGCTTATTTTAAAAGATAATATAGTATTAAAATAAAATGTGAACAATAGGCTTTCATTCACTACAACATCTTAAATACATCGCTGTTTCTAAGAAAATATATAGATATTGGCAATATATTGAAATTAATATCTTATTCGATCAATAAGCAAATAGCTGACCCGATAGAGGTCGGTCTATACCAATTTGAATAAATTTATTTATATCTTTAATGTCATGCAAAAAATATAAAGCAATTTTTTTTTGTTTTTCCCGGATTTCTCAAACTTCTGGCCAACATTTCTATTTTTTTGTTTCTGAGAACCTTATTTAAAATATTACAAATATTTAAAAAAATTGCCAATCCAGTCCAGCATATCTCGACCAATCCACTTACCAACGAATGGCATTTCATTTTTATTATATACTAGCGGCTCACCCTCTCTGCGATCAGGTTCGCCTTTAGACAAACAAAAACAAATCTATCCCACGGGAACCGTATATTTTTCCGGGATAAAAGTAGCCTTTCTTCATTTGTTAATCTGATGTATGAATTATATTATTATAAAGCTCCATTAAAATCCAATTAGTAGTTTACATACTAAGCTGTATAAGTTACTATATTTTTTTAACTATCCCACGGGAACTCTTTAAATTGCTGAGATGAAAAGTATCTAAAATGTTGACCGGGGGTATAAGGCAAAATTTCGTTGAAATCAGTCCGACAGTTTCGGAGATTAGCCCATACAAACAGACAAATTGACAAACAGAAAAAGAAACAAAAAATTTGAAAAAAAAAACTGGATTTGTTCTATTTCTCTTCTTACATCCTCCTACTCGGTTTTTAACATTTCTTTTCTATGTGCAGAAATTCGACCTCTACAGTTTTATTATATGTATAGATGTATTTTATTATTGTATATATATTTTAATGTATAAATAAAATCTTTTTCTTTTATCCAAATATGATGCATATTTATAATATAAGTTGTTGATATTGTTGAAGCACTCGCATGACATATAAATAGTTGTAAATTCAATTGTGAAAGCGGAACGACTATCACCTAAAATACAGGCTCTGGCTTAGTTTAGGAGATAGTAGTTTAACTTATTTTTTGACACTTTTTGTACAACTTGGTTTACTTACTTTAACCCCTTATATTGTCACTTTATATATAGTACAATAAATAAATAAAAAAATAATAATAATAAGGTGACTTACGCGAATCTGTAAGTACCAAGACCATCGTTGTCAGACTCTAGTTTGAGAATTTGAACTTCGTTGGGATCTGAGCGTGGTGCTTGGGGTGCTGCAATCACCAGACCAACACAAACAAGGAGTATCACCTAAAAATAAATAATGACTTTTAAACACAAAGTAAAACTAAGCCCCTAATAACATTTCACCCTTAGGTGGTATATTTTTTTTAACTTTAATAGATTTTTTTTTCACTTCTGGTATTTTTGGCACTATATTTTCCGTTTAGAAATCGATCAATAATAATCGACACAATCCCTCCTACACTGTTGAAAAATATTTAATACTTAATTAATCACAAAACAATCACGCACACTGTAACTCACGATATCTAAAACGTTAATATTTTAAAATAATACATATATATTAAAAAATTATATTCACACAAAATTACTGACCAGTTTCATTATTAGAAAATGTAAATAACAAGTGTCTGTGTATCGTCTTCACTTGAAGTGTTTACTTGATTAGGCTTCACGCATGTTTTATACTTTCCGAAATACTATATTACAACATACATATTATTATTATTTGCGATATTTAACTAGTTACAATGTTTTGTAGGTTTGACCACTCCTACGGTATGAAGGTTAGTTGTAGATATTTGAGGACATATGATGAGAGCCTTTTGCAATACCTTTAATTTACATGCTTGATGTTAATAATTATTAGTTTGCGTGATTGATGTCAATTGTCAAGTTAATTTATATTTATTATTTATATATTTACTGTATATTAAATTTCAAATCCTTACTGAATATTTTAAGGCTTAAGGATCTGGATGTATTTTGTTTATTTGAACGCGCTTTCTCTGGATATAAGAGTAAGGTTTAAAAAATCGTTTTGCATAAAATGCTGCTTTATTATGGAATATTATAGGATCTTAACAATTATACATCCATGCTAATATTAAGAACATGATAGTGTGTTTGTTAGTTTGTTTGTTTGTTTGTTTGTTTGTTTGTTTATTTGTTTGTTTATTTGTCCTTCTTTCACGTAGAAACGGAGTGAGAGATTAGCGTATTTTTTTGTGTGGAGATAGTTGGAGGGCTGGAGAGTGACATAAGCTACTTCTTACCGCAGGAGATTATCTAATTCCCACGGGAAAACACGTTATAATATAATCCAAAAAATATTTATGATCAGAATTACTTGGAACTTGGTATTAATGCTCTTCCATAAAATTAAATAAATACATGTTTTAGCATTTTTCGAGACTTATCTTATAAGAGGGTAAAATTATAGAGGATGAAAGATTGTACGAAACTACCCTTGTAGAAATTTTGTAGCTTTAGCGCGAGCGAAGCCGCGGGTTCTGCTAGTTAGTACATCAATATACTACTAATTGTATACGTAATTAATATAAATATGAACGATATTTCTAAGATATACGAATCATCGTTTTGTAGAGAAATTGAACCCGCAACACACCCCTTTTTATAAAAGGAAATGTAACAACTTCTTAACAGGTACGATTTAATACTTTCTCTATAAAGTAATTCTTCATAATCAACCGACTACAAAAAGGAGGAGATTCTCAATTCGACTGTATTTTTTTATGTTTGTTACCTCAGAACTCCGTCATTTATTAACCGATTTGGACAATTTTTGTGTTGTTTGAAAGTTTATACTTCCAGATTGGTCCCATTTAAATTTCAAAATAAATACCACCCCTAAGGGTGGAAAAATAGCTAATGATGAATTTAACCTACTTCAAATTGTCATATTGACTTGAAACTTTGCAAGTGTTCCTATTTCCGTTGATAGTACAGTGGTTTGATATTGTTGACCTGATCTGATGGTAAGGCCAGAAGGTGGATAGGTGGAACTCTTCAACGGCTACTAGTAGATACTTTGAGTTTGGGCTTATTTTGTTTGATTTGACAAGCCTAACACGTTAGAATTCTTACTTTGCTACTACTGTCTACTTGACTGGTAGTTTTCATTTACTATACATACCTAATCAAATATTTTCGAAGTCGGTGTACTTTGGCTAAGTAATTAAAGCCTACCTATTAAATATATACCTAATCAAATATTTTCGAAATCGGTGCCAGCCCATACAAAGCAGTGCACACCGACTTCGAAAATATTTGATTAGGTATGTATAGTAAATGAAAACTACCAATCAGTTATTTTTTACTTTTTAGTGCTTTTGTTGAAGTCAGTTTATATTTCTTTGTTAAAAAGTTTTTTTAAGTTGCTATCTTTCCCTAAATATTATATGTGACACTTTCAAATTGTCGTATAAAAGCAAATTCTTTCGAAAACCTCTAAATATAAAAAAAAACTATGTATCTAACAGTAGCAATAATTTTTCATTAAGAAAAATATTTTTTTAACAAAAAGTTCTATATAATGTTGCATTTTTAACAAAATAAGCTGATAATTTGAAATATCTTATTGATTTATTACTCGTTCTATCCTGCTTCAACATCCTGAATTAAGTGATCTTCATATTTAGCAAAGTTATAATTAAAGATGGCTTTGACATTTTACAGCAATAAATTCCCACTATATAATACATTTATAGTCATCGATATCAATATACAAATGAGCCAATGATTAATATAAATAGTGCGATTTGAAAATAAAACTTTACTTAGAAATAGAAGAATTCAGTGCAACATCGTCACAATGAAGCTGGTGAGTGACTTATTTTTATATATTTATTGGAAAAATTACATTTTTTTCATTGAGATATAATAATTTATATAAATAAATTTATCTGTCTGTCTCTCTGTCTGTACGGGGACGCATCACGAGAAAATCACTGGACCGATTTTGATGAAATTGGGTATGATGATTGCTGGTTATCCGGGTCAACATAATATAAAATACTGTTTACTGCGGAAAAATATCTCGTCTCTGAGAAATTTATACTAAATGTTAAAGCGTAACTAGGGATGGACCCGAGCGAAGTGAAAGTGAGCTGTTAGTTAAAAATATAATCATATAAATTAATAATATTATATTGAAGTAAATACGAGTATGTTCACTGTAGGGGATTCGAAATCGTTTTCGTTTTCGTGCAAATTTTACGCAACAATATGTTTAGTTTATAAAAACTATAATTATTGATCCTAAGTATAAGCTTAGTAACACAATGCAAGTACACCGCCTACCGTCTTATGAAAATTTACTCCTCTTCCTCAAGGTTGCCTGGAAGAGATCGTTTCCAGCGATAAGGTCGCCTGCTGTACATCTTTTCTTTGTGTTTTTTTTTGTATTTTAATTTTCGGGGTGCAATAAAGAGTATTATTATTATTATTATTATGTATGTATGTATTAGTATGTATATCCCAACCCAGAACAATGTTTTGTATAGAGAAAATTATCGTTCTGGTTTGGGATATATGTACATATGAATATATGTATAGTGTTACTTATAATCAGTCATAGATTCAATCTTAGATTGAACTTTTCAAATGTCATTTCCGAATTAATAACATATATTCTTTTATATTAATGGAAATATTTTATTTATTATTTTAAAACATACAAAATACCTAAAAACTTTTGTTTCTTTCAGTTCGTCTTATTATGTTTGGTCGCCGCTGCGTTCGCCGCACCACCATTTGACGCTGACATATTACGTTACGATAATAATAATATCGGAGTCGGAGATTTCAGCTACGCGTATGTAAACCTTAACGAAATCTTTCTTTTATGATGATCTTAGATCGTATGGTTTCTATAGAACTAGATAAAATTAATAAATTATTTATTACTGTATGTATTTTAATACCGTGTGATGTATGTCAAACAGCTTCCGATGTCAATAGCAAATTGTTATCCATATCCATACTTAATATTATTATAAAAATGTGAGAGTGTTTGTTTGTTCTTCTTTCACGTGGAATCTGAGTGACGAATTGGCGTGATTTTTTGTGTGGAAATAGTTGGAGGGTTGGAGTGAAAATATATGCTAATTTTTACCGCGGGAGATTATTTCATTTCCACACGTTATAGTACCTACAACCCAAAAAAATATTTATGATCAGAATTACTTAAATCTTGGGTATTAATGCTCTTCAATACAATTAAATAAATACGTATCTTAGCATTTATCGAAATTCATCCGAGGGTAAAATCGGGGATGAAAGTTTGTATGAAACCTATTTTTTTAGAGTTTGTCTCTGTAGTTTTAGCGCAAGAGAAGCCGCGGGTTCTGCTAGTTAGTTTATTTATATTTAACTGCGCATATTTTAAATTAATTTATGGATAAATAGTTTTCTTTTTAGTCAGATTTATTGCATGATATTATTGTATTTTAAATAATATTTTTTATTGATTTAGATTCGAGTCGTCTGATGGAACCAAGCAAGAGGCAGTAGGAGAGCTCAAGAACGAAGGTCGGGACGGAGAAGCGCTGAAAATAAAAGGCTCTTACTCCTGGGTGGCACCTGACAACGTTCGTTATTTAGTCACATACGAAGCTGATGAATTGGGTTACAGATCCAACATACAAAAAGACGGTGTGTCAAAGGCTTTGTTCGCTTAAATTAAATGTTGACTTAAATTCGCTACTGTTATAATTTTTAAATAATTATATGATTGATCTTACTATTTTTGTTTTATATTTATACACTAACTTTGCTATGATGATAACTAAAAATAGATACATTATGATTCAGAATAGATATATTGTGAAGTATCGTTAAAAGATTTTCTTGTATGAAATTTTAGTTTTAGCAAAAGAATAAATCTAAACAGACAGAAAAAAATCTCGTATAAATTGATTCAGCCTTATTGGAGATTAGCAAAAACGAAGAGGCAGTTGAAATTTAGTAATGTGTAAATAAATAATCTTATGAGCTAGACTATCTCGGGATAACTACTTTAAAGTCACAGACAGATAATTTAATTTATTTGATAAGTATAGATAATTAATATTCATATAGCATTATATGGCACCATATTTAATTATAGTCACTATGCAAATTTTAAAATTGTTGAAGCTTAACCTTTTTAGAAACATTCATACATTATCATCAAGATTTATTCATATTTTGTTTATTTTTAATTTGCGTGGCCAATAGACAAGGGTATTGTCAAAACTAGTTTATTCATATTAATTGTAGTAGAATAACTTTAGATAATTTGAATCTACTTAACAAGTATGACGTACTATTAGCATCAGCATTCGTACAAAAATCCTTGTTATGGCCCGTTGGCAAGGATTTTTGCCATAGTTGTTTCATGACATTTCATGGCTTGGCAAAATATTTTACTTCATCGTCCTTAACCTTAAGTATTTTTAATATCCTTACATATATTATAATATTTGTTTCTTTTTATAGTTTTTTACCTCTGTATGCCTCAACAGATCAACCAGTTATGATGGAATTAAGATTCACCTTATGGATAAGTGGATATAGTTTTAAAGTATAACAATTAGTTCAGATATCTGCATATACGAGTAGGTCAATCGTAATCAAAAATAATGAGATTCTACATTTTTTATTACTATGTTCGAGATTTCTCGGAAACAGTCTTCTCTGACTTAATTGAGCTATAACCTTTTATGGTATACCTTTCTTTTTTTTTGATATCGCTGGGGAAACCCATCATGGGAACCCCGCCCGCCATCAACGGGCAGGGTACTGTGAGACTCTTACTAACTAAAACCCACAGCGGAACCCGTCGCCCCAGTGCAATGGGGCGTTGCAGGATCGCTTGCGCACACACTACAGCACCCCTGCAAAACCTATTATGGTATACCTTTTTTTTTAACGTTGGGAAATGCATTTACGCACGAGGTGTTGGGACTCACCGGCAAAGCCAGTACTACCTTGTTTTGGTTTTAAAATTTATCTATACATTTCAACACACACACACACAACATTTCAATTTCAATTTTTTGTTTATTATAAGTATTTTGAAGATTATATTCCCTTAGTTTCATGAAATTCAAAAGATTATTCTAGAAATTAAAAATAAAAAACTAAGACAAAGTTAAAAACTGAGTTTTTTTGCAAATATCTCGAAAATTGAGGTTTAATTGTAAAAATTGTTATTTATAAAAGTTGTAGATTTTTACTAGGCCAACAACTTTTTTAGAAATCATTTTTCGATAGAACATCATAGTAAGCCGGAATACATATAAGTACGGAAATTGAAAAAAAATATTTCTCAATCATTTCTGGGGGGTAGCTGGGCATCGGGGGCATTTTACGAATTTCTATTTCTTATATACCTGCTAACATTTTAAAACCGTAAAACTTCAGATTTTCCATATTTTTTTTCTTTTAAAAATAAACGGATTCCGATTGGCCTATAATTATAATGCGATAGTTTGTATGCGTATGTACAATATACAGATAGACTAAGACCTGGAGTCCCGCATAGGCTGCCATTATTAATAAAAATATAATACATATATAATATAATATAATAATATAAATAAATACCAAAGGCACGTAGAGCTGCAATCAAGTAGCGAAGGTAAGCTTAGTGTCAATATATGTGTGCATAATACAATAAAAATAGATTTATAAATTACACAGCCATACAAAAAAAAATTTTGGCTTAGGAGTCTGACTACGTTTACTGTATGTTTTTGGTGTCGCTGAATCAGGATTTAAGGTCAGATTGATCCTATTACGTCAGGATTTCGCCATAGTTAATGGTTATGGAGTTATGAAGTTACAGGGTCATGGGTTTTGTTTTGTAACATTGATTTAGTTGATTGATTTTGATGATTTATTTTTTTAGTACTGTGGTTATGGGGAAACAGACTTATAATGTTAGTGGTTATGGTGCTATAAGGTTATGGGATTATTTACTATCGCAATATCCTGACATGATAGGATCAATTTGACCTTGGATTCTGATTTAGCGACCCCAAAACATACAGTAAACGTAGTCGGACCCCTGGGCCAAAAAAGTTATTTTTGTGTGTCTGTGTTATTATTTAATTTAACAGTGACACTGTAACGATTGAGAGAATTAAAGCGGGACCTTTATAAGAGTTACATTTCTTACTGAATTATATTTAACTTAATTATTATTCGTACACACAATAAGTATATTATTCTAATAAGTTGAGTTAGTAGTAGTGATTGCAATCCGGCGTCATTTTCAGTCCGGCCGGATACGACCGGATTCCCATCAATCCGGCCGGATCCGACCGGATCCGGCCGGATTGATTAAATCAAGATGATTTTCGCTTTTTAGTACAAAATAAGTGAGTTAATCAAGTGTCACTGCACTTATATGTAGGTAGTTTATAAAAAATAAATCACAAATATATAAAATCGACTTTATTTCCTAACCAATGTTAGGACAAATAGAGAACAAGAAAACAATTAAAATTTAGTTGTGTAGGTAACTAGTAATAATTTTACGACGTAACGAGTAGCTCAGTCTTTCTAGATTTCACTTTCACAGATAGATCAATTTATAAGTAACAATATTAATTATCAAGTAACTATAATATCTAATAGATACAATTAACCTTACGTAATTAACTGAAATGAGATCAAAATCATTATTAAAGTATCTGAGAATGCTAACAAACAAGTCTTATAGGTATTTATGATTATGACAGATACCATCATGATTTGATGAATCTGTTGAACGAATGAATGGCAAAAATTATCACAATAATGAGTTTAGAACTCTTTAGTTTAATCAACTTACGATAAATAATTATTTTAAGTAATAATTGTAAAAAAGTATAAGTATTAAAAGAAAATCAATATTGATTTTGAAAATAAGATCGTAGAAAACAAACACAACACATTTAAAGTACCTACTCATGCAACAGCTATTTATTTATTTTATTTTCCCACAAACTGCTAGCACCGGATCCGGTCTTCGGATCCGGTATATTGGTACCGGATCCGGTAACTATTAAATTATGCCGGATCCGCCGGATTACCGGATCCGTTTTTCCGGATTGCAATCCCTAGTTAGTAGGTACTCGATGTATTATTTCGATTAATTATATGTACCTATATGTACATTGTATCTGTTTTAAAACTAAGCGATCTCGGGTTACGATGAACAGAATTACTTTGAATTTTGATGAAAATAGATTTAGGGTTATTGAAGTCATGGAAATACGAGAGAAGCCTAATTTATTTTAATTCAAATGATAATAATAATTTGTATTTACATTTTAATTACAATATAACAAGATATTATTTCAAAACAACGTTAACTAGGTAACTAAGGAATATGTAATTAACCAAGAAGGCTAGCGACTACTGCGTCAGGTACGGCGCCACCAGGCCCTTCTTCGATTTCAGGCTGGAAACCATTTTCATCAGCAGTATAAGTCACAAGGTAGGTCACGCCGTCTGGACCAATCCAAGTGTAGGAACCTGTCATGGCGACGTACTCATCTTCACGACCCTCGTTTCTCAACTCTCCTCTCTGTTCTTGTTTTGTGCCGTCACTTTGCTCAAAACTGTAAACAATATTTTAAATATTATCAAGCAAATTCATATATCAGTAAAAATATCTTATAAAATTATGGAATATAATATCTAAATTAATATAGTAAATTAAATATTTTTATTATACTACTAGTTCGTTCGTCTATTCTTCGGGTTCGTCCCTACAAGTTCTTGCGTTTAACATTTAGTATAAATTTCTTAGAGATGAGATAATTTCTCGCAGTAAAAAATATCCTTTATGTTGACCCGGATAACCAGATATCATCATACCAATTTTCATCCAAATCCCTTTAGTGGTTTTTCCGTGATGCAGTAACAGACAGACAGATAGACAAAAATTCTAAAAATTATAGATTCGGCCTCTGTATCGATAATAATGTCTATTTCAATAAGATTTTCCAAAAAAATATTTAATATACAGATTCGAACCTCTTTTTTGAAGTTCCAGTTTTTTAAAAAAATACAGGATCTACAGTTATTGGTTGGTATTGTTTGTGGTTCAATTTTTACAAGTTGTATTTTAATTTAATTAAATATATTATATATCTAATATTTTTTATTTAAAATTCTTGATTTATTAGAAAAAAATCCTTTTTTCTTTCATTAATATCAAATTTATTTAGCAAGTTGTTTAGTATTTTGTACTATACCTTAAACCTTTTATAAAGTAACATATTTCTTATTTAATTAAAGCTACTAACTATTCTTGATCGTGTTTCATAAGTAACCACATAACCCTTTACGATATACATATTATATTTACAAGAAAAACTTTTCATCCGATAACTAGATTGGACGATGTAATGCTATACATAATTCGTTGGCTCACTATTACAAGGTTCTATGTTACAATTTTCGTACTTATTTAGTTATTAATGCTACAAGGTGTCTATGTGTCATTAGCTACAGTTTTGCAAAAACAAACCACTAGATAGCGGCACTATAACTACTAAATATTCAATTTTACATAGTTCTATGTTGTTTTTTTTACGATGACAAAATAACGAAGTTGTATGTAAAAATTACTAAACTTCATTAAAATTAACATAGAACCTTGCAAGAGTAAGCCATCGATATTATGCCACGGTACAACTTTAAGGTATTCGCCTATTGATCGAAATTCAACTATAATCACTATTGATAATTTGAGAAAATCATATGGATATATTAATATATATATATATATAAAATATATATAAAAAATAACTGTGTCAATTTTTTACCTATAATACTAAAATAAATAAATAAGTAAATCGGTTGACAAACAGAGGAGGAAAAGGGACTGAATTTTTTTGTACCTATTTATCTATTTATCATTGCTTTTGTTGTTTTTGACCGATTTTAAAAAGGCGAAAGTGCTCAATTCAGCTTTCATATAATGTGCATATGTTGCTTGTCTTGTGCATATCTTTTCAAATTGTCAACCTTCTGTGATTTTCTCTCTCTAATGATAAGATTAGTCACTAATAAAAACTTTTTAACAAAAAATAAAACCGACTTCCAGGCACTAAAATGTAAAAAATAACTAAACGGGGGTTTTCATTTAGAATAAATACCTAATCAGATATTTTCGAAGTCGGTGCCAGCCGGAAGTCGGTTAAAAAGTAAAACAGTACCTACACCAACTTCAAAATCATTTAAAGGTTCTACCTTAATAGATGGTTTTCTATGAGGGACAACCCTTTAGCTATATTAAAAAATATATAATGAAAATCGATTTACAATTCACAGAGGTATCGCGTGAAATACAAACTAAAAAATATAAATAGGAGAATAAGTTAAGAAGTAATAAAAATTAACAGAATTTGTTTTAGAGAAAGTTCTATTAATTTTGTGTAATAAAAGCATAAAAAGTGTAAATACTTACGCGTATCTGTAGTTACCAGTACCAATATTGTCATTTTCGTATCTCAGGAGTTGAACGTCGTTTGGCTGATAGTTCAGTCTCGGGGGAGGAGCGGCGACCGCGAGGGCCACGAGGGAGAGGACAATAAGCTGCAATGTAATCACAATGTGTACAATATTTAATGACAATCCCTCGCGTGATAACTGCTAACGATGAATCAAGTTATTTGTGCTTACAAAATCACGACCTCGTCAAAACTATTAACCATCTCTCTACATTTGAAATATTGAGATGGGTTTTACGTATGCGTCTAAAAAGTTCACAGTTTATAGAAAGGAAAATACGATGAAAGGTACTTTCAATTTTTTTTCAAGGCCAAAAAGATTCCCATTGATCTTAAAATTTGATTATTTAGTTGTATCATTTAAGATGTGTATAAGAATTGAAGCTATAAAGAAAAAAATTAAAATATAAAAAACGAACACATTATATACATATATAGTATATGTATTATATATTTAAAAGATAAAAAATGCTTACTATATTTATAAGATACCATTATAGGATAAAAATATTTATATTGGGAATAAACTTCAAAATGTGCTAAATAATTTTGAATAATAATAAAATTATATCAATAAAAACACGTTTCTTATCACATATATGTTAACATATTCATGTTATCATTTAGGTTTCACAATTATATGAAGCGGTGTACTAAATTTTGTCAAATATTCACTACCTATGCACTACGCTATTATCTATCACTCACGTAAACAATCAACAAAAACAAACAAAATACTGACCAGATTCATGTTATAAACAGGTCTTTCGACGGCGATTCGAGAAAGATTGCAAAGTTGACTGTAAGTTCCACCTTTATATCTGTAGCAGATGACTTATTTATAAAAGTCCAAATACCTGCCCAATATGCAAATCATAGTTCTTCGGTGAAGGTAAACTACTCCGTTTTTTTTTATATATATATTTAATTTAAACGATGCGACATTAATGATGCGGGAAATTATTTTGAGAATAAACTTTTTATTTAAAAAAATAGTTTCATGCAGCTATTCGGAATCTGGTTTTAAAATAAGAATGCATAGTAGATTTGATTTTTACCCGACTGCGGCGAAACCTAAAGGAGGGTTATAAGTTTGACCTGTGTGTATGTATGTATGTCCGATCTTAATGATTTATACGTAGTTTGATACGTCCTGGTAACGCGAGTAAAATAGGGTATATATATAACATTACAAAACAAAATGGCGGATCTAAGGCGCCAATTTATATATCTAGAAAAAAAACATTCGTCTGAATAGATCGAGTGGGGTTACAAAATGCTGGTGTTTAACAGGCAATTACAAAAATATATTCAACTTATAAGCTTAAAAGTTATTTAGGATAGAAAATTATATTTAGCAAATAGCGAACTAAAAAGATGAGAACAAGTGACGAAGGAACATGGTATTATGCAGTCGGAATAGTTTGTTTTAAACGAGTCGCGAGTCTTGCTTAGTGTGTATATTAAAAAAAAACGGCGATACTTTACATTGTAACTTTAAGACAAGAAGTCTAAAACCTTAGTTTCTTGAAGTGGTCATCTTACGTCTTCCTAATATTATAAATGTGAAAGTTTAGATGGATGTTTGGATTTTTTTTACTCAATCACGCCAGAACGGCTGAACGGATTTGGAAGAAATTTGGCACGGAGATGGATTATGGTGTGGAATAGCACAAAGGCTACTTTTTTTTATCCCGGAAAAATGTACGGCTCTCGCAGGATAGATTAGTTTTCGCTTTTCTGGAGAGTTTGTTACAAAGCATTCGAAACTGGGGGAAAAAATCAAAATACAATCGCGAAAATATCCGAAAAAAATATATTAAATATAAAGTCAGAAAATTATAATAATCATACTATACATTGTTAAAAATAAAATTAAATATTTTCAGTAACCCCCGACACAAAAAAAAATAAAAAAAGTAAAAAAAAAATTAATTTTTCACTTGACCTTTTAACTTCGTTAAAAGTACCCATTAATATTTTGATGATTGATGAGCGTCGCCACGTTGGGTGATCGCTACTTTATTATTATCAATCTTGTTTTATTTGTATTCTGATTTTTATTTTATTTACTTAGGTTACGTGGCTAGGTACAATGATAACAGATGGACTCGGAGATCGCTACTGTAGTCCGGATCACGAGGAAGGAGAGCGTGAAGCTCTTTTTGTGTCGGGGGTTACAAACTTAATCAAAATTGGCATAATACTAATCGTGCCGCATTTGCTATATTTTGTTCTAGGGTTTACGGAATAACAAGTAGAATTTTGTATTTTTATACACGCTGAAATTTAATTGACCGCTCTAATTATGGTACCTAGCAGTAAATATAATGTTAAAATGTAATAAAATATATGTTAATTCATAAGCATTAAGTTACTTATAATTATATTATTTTGTACGTATTTATATTTAAATTAGTTTATATGTACGAACCATTTTTATTGAAAACACTAAAACTATTAAAGCAATTGTAAAGTTTAAGTATGCTAGTATGTTAAACTACAAAACAAAAGAATTATATTATATTACAAAATAAATATCAAAGTCAAAAATAGTAGCGTAATTTGCTATGTAGCGTATAATTATTATTAATATACAATATTAACATAATAATAATATAATATAATATAAAATAATTTAGATTTCATAAGTTTTCGAACGTCACTTAATTTATATTGTTTTATAATCTGTGTAAATCTGTACCGTTTCCGCCATCATGGCAACACAGGCGCTCTCCTGCGTGTCGCTAAGACGCTTGCTTAAAATTATATATCTCGAGTTAACTTACAACAACATAACACATAAAAACTACAAAAAACTAGTGTTCCTAACAGTTACAAAATTCAGTTTTTATTTGTCTCCAAACGCGACAGCTATTTATGTTATTCTTCTCGATTTTATCATACGGATCGTTTGCTTTCTTTAAAGAATAAGGAAAATCATCTAATATATGTATTAGTTAAATTAATATACATTTTTTAATAATTAAATATGTATGATAAAAACAAGACTACTCATATATTCTGCTTAATTTTTAGTTTTTTTTCCTTGAAAGAGAGATAGCACAATATTAGCTTATTTTTTTCTTTATTATAATAAAATCCGTTGACTATTTTGTTTTATTTATTATCATTTTATTAACGTATCACTCAGTACATATACATCTATAATAATTTTATAAAGAGGAAAGATTTGATTTTTTGTTTGTTTGCTTGCTTGTACCGAATAGGCTCCGAAACTACTGAACAGATTTAGAGATAAGAGGATAGATTGAGACCCTAGAAAGAACATAGGATATTTTTTATTCCGGAAATCATTCCTTAAGGTGGTGAAAATGGGGATGAAAGTTTGTATGGGGAAGAAACCTAGGCACTAACCCGAACGAAGCGAGGGTTAAGCGCTAGTTATACATATACGAGTATATTGTCATATATTATTTTAAAATATTATTGTTTCGTTCATACATACACTTATACACTTCATATTTACTTCTATTATGCTCTATCTATATTATTCTTTAGTCTGTGGTTAATAATAACAATCATATATAATTATTATATTATATTCATTTCGTATAACCCTAAAGTTATTGTAATTCGCTAATATCTTATACTATTTATAATATTCACATAATTTTTAATATATGTATTTATAAGCAGTCGCGACTATTCGCCGCACAGGCGCGTTCTTAATAACACAGGTTTAAGACAGGTTTGACTTACTGATGATATCCTACTAGCCAAACTCACTGAGACTCGCCATTTGCTCTTGGTAAAGGATATTATAGTGCACAAGTGTACAGGTAGACACAAGTGCGCTCTCATACTAGATACGATACGATCAATGAGAGATCAGGCGCAGGATTCATGGTTTTACGTCCTCTTCAAAGCACGGGGATGAAACAGCGCCAACTTCCTAACTTCGGGCTGTTACTGAGATTTTTTTAACAGAAAGACTCAATAATTTATTTAATTTGACCAAACCCGGGACTTAAACACAGGTGATAGAGCCTCCGGATCTGCCAGCGTGCATGCTAGTCACTAGACATCTGAGGCAGTTATTCACCGAGGTATTTTTATTTATTAATGGTCAAGGATAGGAGTAAATTTGAAAAGTTCAGTGTCCTCATTAATATTTCTAGTTGGCGACCTTGGACGACCGTCGGTCGTGTCACCACATTGGAAAAAATGTATCGAAAACAAGAATTTCAAGCATATTTTCCTTTCAATGTCACCCAAGTATATAATGTATTCCCAGACTTATAGAAGAAATAATTTTTCGAAAATATAAGATATTTTTTAATTAGATGACATTATACTCGTAGGTTACAGTGCAATCGAAATCACCCGCAGGTAGAGACTGATATTTTTACATTTTATAGCATTTTGCTTTTATCATAATAGCTCTGAAATAATCTACAGTGTTACAATTATTATACATAGTTACCTGTATTTCTTTATAAAAGCTTAATTTTAAAAATTGTTTAATTATAATTAATTGACTTAGTATTACATAGCATTTTAGATATGATGATAAAATTTACAGCACATATAATTGCAGGTTGTATTAATATTATAAAGAGGTAGTTTGTGAATTTGTGAGTTTGTGATGTTGTAGGTGTAATCTATGGATCTACCGAACCGATTTTGATGAAATTTGATAAAAAGATAGTTTGAGACCCTAGGAAGGATATAGGACACTTTTTCAACTGCCTCGGTGGTGTAGTGGCTAGCATGTACGGCTGCACACTCGGAGGTCCTGGGTTCGAGTCCCGGGTCGGGCCAAGTTTAGTTATTGAGTCTTTCTGTATCTAGTCTCAGTAACAGCCCGGAGTTGGGAAGTTGGCGGTGTTTCACCCCCGTGCCTCGGAGAGCACGTAAAGCTGTCGGTCCTGCGCCTTAACTCTCACTGGTCGTGTCAAGTAGTCGTCCCACCAGAGTATGAGAGTGACAGAAATAGAGAGTGCACTTATGTCTGCGCGTACACTTGTGCACTATAATATCTCCTGCGCAGTTGGCTAGTCTCAATGAGATTGACCGCCGTAGCCGGAATCGGCTAGGAGAACATCATTATCATCAGTTTCATCATTATCATTACTTTTTATCACGGAAATAATCACTTAAAGGGATGAAAATAGGTAAGAAAGTTTGTATAGGGAAGCAAGCTAACCCGAAGCGAACCCGAGCGAAGCGAGGGTGAGTCGCTAGTTTTAAATATAAGTATCTATTATTTATTAAATCCATGACTTACATCGTATTAATAGTAAATAAAGTAGCACTTGAGGCAGTCATCAATACCAATAATTTAATGTACTAAAATAACTTATGAATTAATGTGTTATGTGTAATAAGTAGTAGTACCTATAACTAACTTACACCATCGACATGACAGCGAACTCTTAATTGCTCTAGCCTTAGAGTGGTAGGTACAACTTTTCTGTAAAATTACTATGTTCTATGTTCAATTTCCCTATTTATGAATAAAAGTTTGTTATTATTATTATTATATTATTAAAGTGGTACTATACTATATACTTTTGTTATATATTAATACCTTATGAATTTATACTTTTGAAAGCCATTATATATATTACGTTTTGATAAATATTCAAAAATATGTAACAAAACTGGCTAAGTGCGAGTCGAGCCACGCGCAATGTAAGGTTCCGTAGTTGCCCATAACAATAATGCAGACTAAGAAGAGGGCTTTTTGTTGTTTCATAGTATGAATATTTAAATTTAACGGTTTCGGCGGCTCATAACGTCTAAAAACGATAAGGTTTTTATGATTTTATTTTTGTATATGTTTACATGGTCCATAAACTTAAATTTACTATCTGTTTTACACAACTAACAACGTTATATAAGTAATTTTCAATGGAATTTTTACGAAATTTTATTTCTCCAAGTACATTATATAAGTTGGTCAACTATTACTCGTAAACTTGTAAAGCCTACTTAGCTGTGATAATTTTCTTTTTAACTTCGTTATATATACTACTACCGTGATTTTGTTACATATCCAAAAACAAGCATTTAACTGGCAGGGGTTGGAAGGGAGAGGGGGTGGGGGACACTTGACTCCAATAAAATTAACACTTTAAAGCCTAATATTTCACAAACGGATCCCTTAATCGTAAAATTGTGATCACAAATTCGCAAATTATTTGAAACCTATCTAACAATACCCCGCACTATGGAGTAGACGAGAAAAAAGCTTTCCCGCTTTACGTATAAAGGAGGTACCTTTATTTTTTTTATTTTACCTGTTTGTCGGCGTGACTAATATGTATATATATATATATATATATATATATTATATATATATATATATATATATTGTATAATCATGCCAAATTACAGCTTTCTAGTACTTAGAGTCTCCGAGCTAAGCTGCGGACAGACGGACGGACGAACATTGCAAAACTATAGGGGTTCCTTGTCGATAACGGAACCCTCAAAAGTAATACATTGAAAAAGTGATACATAATTTTGTTTTTATGTACAATAGAATAAAATATTTTTTTTCTATATTGCGAAAACGGCCATAGCCACCTTTTTATTATAGCATTTTTTTGTTAATATATAAAATATTACAGTGCCTAAAAAAACAAAAAAAAAACAAAAACCCGTTTCGCAATTTTTAATATTTATTAAAATAGATTAAATGTTAACTTATAAATAAAATAATAACTGTTTATGTTACTATTTATAGCAGTAGACAAAATTATTTATTTTAGGATTTTTGTTTTATCATATACTTAGTTCTAGCGTAAGTTGTTAAAATATAAAATTAAAACTTAGGAATCCTATTCTTAAAAATTACAGCCAAATCCTAATAAATTGTAATATTCAAGACCAATGTATAGATAAATAAAATAATGATCAGAAATCAAAATATATTCTGTGATAAATTTCATAAAGTTTTATTGGGTCAATTTTATTGCGTGTGAGGAGAAAGAATAAAAAAAAAATTTACTAAGTATATTTCACTATATTAAAATTAATCTCACAAAGAGTATATAAATATTATATACAGTTAATGAGTATTGAGCTATATACATTGTTCTGTTTCGATTATTTGGAGTTTTCAGCCGAGGAAAGACGTAAGAACAGCAGAAGGTATCGCACCACCAGGACCCTGTTGAATCTGAGGTTGGAAGCCGTTTTCATCAGCGATATATGTCACAGTGTATGTGACACCATCAGGAGCAACCCAAGAGTACTGTCCTTGTACCGAAATCGCTTCATTTTCAGTGCCTTGGTTTTTCAACTGACCTTGTTCTTCATGTTTGCTACCATCAGATAACTCCCATCTATGAATATGATTACCATGTAATTAAGAAAGTTTAAAAAATAATAATAATAATGTTTATATATTTGTATTTAAGGGCCATTTTATTTCATACAAAATTAATTACATCTGTTATATATACTAAAATTATTTTATCTTCACGTCTTAAGGAGAGAATTTGGATGTAGGATGTAAAAACCAGCGTTATTTTTATATTTTATTTAAGTGACAATTTTTTATTATTACTAGCTATTAAATTAAATTCAGTTTCCTGTAGAATAATTTAAGGAACCGCGGAGAGTAAATAGGATCTGGTAACAATACTCACGCAAAATTATAAGAGTCCAGGCCTGAATTATTAACGTCATAACGTAAAATTTGTACGTCTTGATAATTTTGTGGAGCTGCCGATGCAGCTGCTGCGAAAACAAGGACTAGGAACTGAAATAAAAAAAAACCTTAATTAGTATTTTCAAAACATTGTTCACGTAATTTGTGATTATAATTGTAACTAACCAGTTTCATTATGTATTGTTTTATTGTCGTCTGTCTTCTTCAGAGAATATTTAGCATGTGAGATGATTACGTATCTAAACAAGTCTCTTATATATGAAGGTATTTCTTCTATTACCAAATTGCAACACAGCATTTCGACCGTCCTGATGCCTATTATAATACGGAGAGCTATACACACTATTGGCATTTATGTTTGGGATCGATTAATATGACCTACATGTGTCCTCTGTTATATAATAGGATTTGAAATCTCGATTATGTAAATCAAACTTGACTTAAACAAACATGAACTTGTGATAGTTCTGAAGGAATTAAGGAATTAGCTATAACTGCTATATAAGTAAATTAATATAATTTAATTTTTATGTCTGTTTTAGAATAGTTTAAACGTCATATTATAAAACATGTAAAACTTTAAAAGGTACAGGTTACCCTTTCTATGATAAAGATAATATCATGTAACAATTTGGGTTAATTTCGCGGAAGGTGTTCACAGACTCGTACAAATTTTTTCATTAATTAGCGGCCTGTGTGATGGACGCTCTTAAATATAATGAATGTAAATTAGAGCGAAGCAGAGGAATATTAATATGTATAATTGTGAATGGAACATTGATTTGAAGGTAATAAATACGATCTACTTCTTTTAGACCGATTCTTATTTTTGGTTGTCTTAACTATGAATTAATATCGTGACTAACTGTCAGACAGATATAGCATAGCCTTAACCAGTGAATTCTGAGATTTGAATTGTGGAATAAAAAATATGATTGGGGCAAAATTATTTGAAATTACATCCGTATAAAGAAGCTTTTTAAAATGACCTCTAAAGATGACACTAGAGTACTTTTCATAAGAAAATAAAAAAGAGGCATCTATGTTTTAGAAATTAATTAATCTTATTGTATAGGAGATTTTTGGGGCAAAAAACACAGGCCTTTAATAAAACATGTACAATGTTATGAATCTCAACTTTAACAATGGAAAAAAGAGAAAAAAAAAATAAAAAAATTGGGTGTTTAACTTGAGCTCTTATTTGAAATAATTGAACCAATTTTAACAAGGTTTCATAGGTGGATAAGAAATGCTGATGATGATGAATTGTTATCATTTTTACTGATCTAAAAATTAACCTGTGTAACAGGTACGAGTATATACGCATAAATGTAAACAGTAAAAATAAATTAAATTATCATAATTTTTATTAAAACAATTATATTAAACCTTTATTATTTCAGTACAATTTACCTAGAAATATTAAATATAATATTACTAAGTAAATTTTATTCTTAACCATAATTAACTATATGATATATAGGTATATACATGTGTATGTAACACCACAGTTTAAGTTATATGTATATATGCGTACTTTGTATTATTTGTATTTATGAAAAACTTATAAATTGTTCAATAATTTACTATGGTTGCAATGTTAATTTTTAAGAGTGCTAGAGCTTTTGCTAGCTAACTAAACACGACTTGATGTAGAAACCTGCCAGGCAGTAAGTCTTTACCTATTACTGTTATCATCTTATAAAATTGCTATCATTTTATACAATTGTCATCAAACCACAAGGTTATAAAAAACCATGATTGCATAAAACATGCAAACATTTTTTTAAGTTTGTGATAATGAATGAATGAAAATGAATCAAGTAATGTATAAAAAAGTACACTATTTTAGTTTTGGGCTATATTTAGTAGTAAAATTTGTACGTAAAATATTATAATAAAAAGCAAATGAAAATGATGATCACAACGAAGGAACTCATCAGAGACATATGTGCACATTATACTTGTATAGCAAATGCCTATTAATCCGGTTACTGTACGAATAATATATTATTTGTCCAGCTACTTTCTTTGGTTTTTCTTATTATTGAAGTAAAACTTCTTTAGGAGCGACTGAGGGAGAGCCTGCCGAAAAATGTGAAATCACCAAGTTTCAAAACAATAACAAAATAAATATACACATAAGTATATATTGCGACTCTTTCGAAAGCTGTAAATTAAATGTGATCCTATCCTAGATTTTTGAAATACCCATGCCTTTTCTGTTATCCTCATTGTTGAGTAAAAATATATTTTTTTAATAATCAATAGCCGGACTAATATCTAAACATATATTAGTCGTACAATAACTCTACTAAGAAAAATAAATTATTCGTAGGTTCAACCTATTAAGTATGTAAATACATACACGTAGCAAGACCCGCAGCAAATATAAAACTTGTATATTATTATGTCTTTGACTGCATAGTAAAGTTTCTTCATCAACAACGCAATCGGTTTGTTTTTTATTTTTGTAATTATTTTTTTATTAATAGCTTTTAAGTTTTGGCCATTTCGAGTTTTATTTATCAATTTGCTATCCTAAATCATATTTCGACATTCAAGTTGTGTTTATTTTGTCGTAAAAACCTTTATTTTTTAATACCATACTCGATTGGTTTTTTTTTAAATTAAGATAAAAATTGGCGCCTAAAATCCGTGACTTTGATCATTAATGATATTCATCATTATTATCAATCATTAATTTCAAGATGAAGCCAAGGACGTATGAATCATCAAAATCCGTTTAGTGATAACGAGACAACAATGGATCTGACGAACCTACAATCTACATACAGGTCAAACACATAAACTCCTTTGGGTTACGCCGCAGTCGGGTAAAAAATTAATTAAGGAAAACAACAAGGTAATTATATTATTTCATCTCTCAAATCATTGTTCTAGGGTTATGAGAGTTCCCATCGAGCCAGGCTAATGATTCGGCCTTTACATTTGTTAGTAGCCGAGCCGATGCTATTTCGATATTATAGTCGATTACAAATATAAAACAATAAAAAGAAATCTTATTTAGTTAGCATTAAAGTTCATGCAAAATGTACATGTCATATGTTCATAAAAGTTCAAATAACAATTTTGTGTTGATTATTATGAAGAAAAGGCCAAGGTTTTATTTAGCGCTGAATAATAATTTGTGTCCAATTGGTTTCTGATGAGCCTTAAATAAAAGAACATTTTACTAGAACGTGAGAAAATATTTGCTAATGTGATTTAAAGAGTTTAACAGATTGGCTTAAGTGTTTCTCCACACTCAATGCAAAATGTAACTATAATCAAGTTCACCCTGTAATAAAATTTAGTTAAAATAACAATATTATTACTGTTATATTACTGTTACAACATAATTAATAAAAAAAATTACGAAAGAACGATTATATAAAAAAAAATTTTTCTAATCTGAAACATGCCTTCGTGCGGGTCACGTATTCTCCTTTCCTTCAGTAGTGGTTAGACATAAGCGAAATTTCGCTTCAATTATAGCGAGTGAGCCTGCCTATTCGAGCAAGCCCCCTATGCTTAAGGGTGGTTCTGCTCATGAAAGCACTCTCATTCAGAGGTAGAACCTTTTGTGCACTAATCTTGGCATGTTGGCGATACCTCTTGCCGCACAACTTAATGCAGACATCGAATTTGCCGTACCTGGTATTCTTCTGGAATGTTCTATCGATTACCTCTTGGTCCTTAGAGTCAAAGTGCTAAGATCTACTTTAAAGAAATAATATCTCAATTTTACATCGTGATTTAGTGGTGGAACGCTGCTTGCATTCTTTCGACAAGTGCACGCAGACATAACTAATATAAAAATTATTTAGTGCACAAGTATGTGTGTTGTAAATATGTACTTTTGAACTTAATTGTACTTTTTCGTGATAAATAGTATATAATATGAAATTGAATGAAATATGAAGCTATTGAGCCACAAACACGTTAAAGTTATGAGACTAAAGTTTGATAACTTTAACAAAAATTTAAAAAAACCAATGTACTTAATTAGCAAGGTACTCATTGTTTCATAAACAAAACAAATCACCGTTGAAATTTTATTGACCAGGTGACTTTTAAATTATATGGTTGCAAAATTAACAGAAAATTGTAAGTGATGAGCCCATCATCGTGGTAACCGGTCGCGTTACGTCATAGAATGTTGAACCCACGACGTACGCCTGACCTCCGACACGCGATTTACCTTCCTTAATCCAGCTTTTTAGGTTAAAATGACAACTAAGATAGATCTACTAAATTTTACAAGGTTGTTAGTTACAATTATGGCAAAATATTTTGTGTAACTTAACGATGTATGCCATTAAATTATTATTAACTAGCAGAACCCGCGGCTTCGCTCGCGCTAAAAGTACTAAAAAACTAAAGAATAGGTTTCATACAAACTTTCGTTCCCTATTTTACCCCCTTATGAGATGAATTTTGAAAAATGCTAAAACAGATATATTTTTAATTCTATTGAAGAGCATTAATACCACTATATTAAAATTGCAGGCGTGCATAAAATGAAAAGCGGGTAGGAAATAAAATTATAAAGATATACTATTGGCGGAAAAAATTATAATATATAGTTTAATAGTAATGTATGGAATTCGGTCCGATTTGTTGACATTTATAATTACTGCTCCGCTCCCTTGGGTAGTAGCATGATAATAAATATGTTGGAAGATTACCACACAGCACCATCTAGTTGCATGGTAAAATACGAGGATACAAGGCTTGTGTTATGGATACCAGATAGTTGATACACTACACATATATATCTTTAAAACATACATGTTATAAATATAAACACCGCTGACTGGAGTACAAACATTCGTGTTCATCACAAAAATGAATACCGCCATCGGGACTCGAACCCGCGACCGCTGGCACAGCAAGTAGGGTCACTACAAACTGAGCCAACCGTGTCGTCAAAAATATACTATATAATAACCTATAGCCTCTACCAATAAACGGGCTATCAAATAAAAAGAATTTTTCAAATTGGATTATTAGAACCTGAGATTAGCGCGTTCAAACACACAAACAAACTCTGCTTCTTTATAATATAAGTATAGATTACTTGTAAACTGTATCACATATTTTACAATCAATATATTAATAGGCAAAGACAAAACTGTTCAGTACGTTTTTCTCTTCTGTTTGTTCACTGATTTTATTTTTTTGCTTAGTAGGTATTGATGACTTTTAGTATTCTCAATAAAAGCATTTGAAAACTGTGTTTTTTTCACATTTAGCAAGATTCAATTATGTTTATATATTGAACTAGCATTGGTCGCGGCTCCGCCCGCGTTCAGCTGATCAAAAAGCAAATTCTTAGTATACTCCTACAATGCAGTTTTTGTATTTTTTCTCAGAAATGAGATATTTTCCCGCAGTAAGAAGTATTCTATATGTTGACACGGATAACCAGCTATCACCATACCAAATTTCATCAAAATCCCTCCAGTGGTTTTTCTTTGATGCGGTAACAGACAGACAAAAATTCTAAAAACTATAGATTCGGCGTCTGTATCGATAATAATGTTTATTTCAATAAGATTTTCCAAAAAATATCTAATGTACAGATTCGGCTTAGTTACAATTTTATTATATGTATAGATATATTACCTATTATTTGTAGGGTAAATTGTTTCCTATTTAATCGATAGTAAAAATTTGCCAAATATTACTACACTTCACTTGGTGATTTATGTATGTATTATGTAGAAATAGTGATCGGTCATGAGAAAAATAACATCAAACTGTTCTCAATTCAATCAGATCTTCTTAGTCTAAAAAACGAAAGTGCATAACTTTTTGTCAGTTAGCCGCGATTATATAACATGAATTGTTTGAATAACATGCGCGCGTGAACTATAACATCGAAATAATGGGAGTATTTGACACGAACAAAAGGTATACCTTTTTGTTGTAGACCACAGTGAATACAACCACACTTGTACGTAACGTGTAACTTTAAGATATACGAATTATAATTTACAAAGACGTATGTATACTTACAAAATAACTATTCTGCGAAGAAAAATATATTGGCAGGGTCGCGCCTAATAGGTGATATAAACACACTCGTATGGTACTGTTAATCAATCAATCAATAAAAAATTAAGTAATCGATTAATATAAACTACTCTAGTTTCTACGCCGAGTCGAACTTCGACCATGATTATTATCGATTTTTTTATTTATAAAACTAAAACTCGTCAATAGTTATTAAACTATAACAAAAAATAAATAGATCGGCTCACAAACAAAATGTTTATATTATTAATTTAATGTATTTCAGTTCAGTTCTTTGCTAGTTTATATAAAAATATTAGCTTTTGACTGACAAATGTCATATTTCTCCGTCCGCGTAATTTTCTTAAAAAGGAATACAAAGTTTTTACTTCACGTATTAATATATAGATATTATTCATATATTTAACTGAAAAGACATAGACAATTTTGTGATGATCTTTTTTATAATTAAATAGCGTTTGCGTGAGGCTCTGCTTGCGTACTTTCAAACGTTTTTTTTTTTTTAACCATGCGAAGCTAATTTTCAAATAGAACTCTCAGAGCAGAAATATTTATGGTAGACTCCTAAATTATATTGTATTGTATTTGTAGTAGGTACTAAGTCAATAATTTCAAGAAATTACTTTATATATTTCTTATTTACTTACATCGTGTTTAATTTTGTTTATATAGTGTATCTAATGAATAGTGACATCATGGGTTTAACAAGACGCAGTCTGTAAATACATACGGAAACTACGAGTAAATACTTTTAGCTTTATATATATTTATTTGTAATGTCTTACATTTTATTTTGAGTCATGAGACTTTTCATCTCAAATTTTAAATCATGTCAATATGTTCATAAATTGGACGCTTTTTTCGTTTTGCGTCACGATGGTTATAAGTAAACTTCTAACTTATATACGCATATATAATATACCAGCGACTCACCCTCGCTCCGCTCGGGTTCGTCCGTTTTAACGTTAAATATTAATTTTTCAGAGACGAGATATTTTCTCGCAGTAAGAAGTATCTATATGTTAACTCGGACAACCAGTTATCATCATACCAAATCTCATCAAAATCTGTCCAGTGGTTTTCTCGTGATGCGTTTTCTCTTGTCTAGACAAACAGACATACATACAGACAAAAATCCTAGAAAGTATAGATTTGGCCTCTGTATCGATAATAATGTCTATTTCAGTAAGATTTTTCAAAAACTATTCAATGTACAGATTCGACTTAGTTAGAATTTTATTATATGTAGGTATAGATAAATCTATATTAATAGCTGAAGAGTTCGTTTGTTTGTTTTTTTATTTAAACGCACCATTCTCTATAAGTACCAGTCGGTTGTAAAAAATATTTTTTTGCATTTGGTAGTCCAATTCTTGAGGAAGGTTTTAGGTTATTTAACGTCACTCTGCGATTTTTAGGATCAAAACAGTTATAATAAATAGACTACGCACGAGGAGCGGCGGGCAAACTTATATACAAAAATTAAAGCATTCTTATTTGTTTGTAATAGAAGTAAGTAATCCTTCGATTGCGATAAAATTTTGTAAGTTTTTGCGTAAAGCTCTATCATTGTGACGCGCGGGTTTGTAACTCTGTCAAAACCAGCGTGGGTGACTCTAGTACTCTATAAGTTACTAACATTGCCCGCGGACCGCCCGCGTTTAGATTACCAAAAACCAAATTCTTAGGTTTTACATATTAGTATAGTATTCTTACAATGCAGTTTTTGTATTTTTTCCCAGAAATGAGATATTTTTCCGCGGTAAAAAGTATCCTATATGTTGACCCGAATAACCAGCTATCATCATACCAAATTTTATGAAAATCCCTCCAGTGGTTTTTCTGTGATGCTGTAACAGACCGACAAAAAAACAGACAAACAGACAAAAAATCTAAAAACTATAGAATCGGCCTCTATATCGATAATAATGATTATTTCAATAAGATTTTCCAAAAAATATTTAATGTACAGGTTCGGCTTGGTTACAATTTTATCATATGTATAGACTAGCGATTCACCCTTGCTTTGCTCATGTCATTTAAGCTTAACATACGTCAATTTTATATTAATATCTCACACGAATCACCACCATCTGTCTGTATGGTACGCGTAAATGTATTTCCCAACATAAAAAAAGTTAATGCAGTTGCATATTAGCGAAAAAAAATTCAGAAAGGTGTCAGTAGTAACTTAACATAAAATCTGGCATAAAACTGCGGTAAAACCGTGGACAAATATTAAAATAAATGTTCAGGCACGCAACATCTTTATTATGTTTTTATTTGACTTGTTAATATAACTTTTTCTTTATTTGTTTATATAAAAAAATTAAAATGATGCAACAACTCTGTCGAGTTCATCTTCTGTAAAACAAAGTAGCATGAAACAGTACACTCTCCGACGATCGACGTGGCTGCCCGTTTCTGATATCATGTACTCCTCTTCCTCAGGCGCGTACCGATCACTATCAATAGAACATATCTAAAAATAATAATAAATAGTAGCAAAGGCGATGTAAAGTACTAAAGTTTCTATGCAAAATTGGACCCAGTTATGCAAAAAACAGCCATGTGCGTAAAAGTACCAACAGAGTTATAAGCATTTTATTATAAAAAATAAAATAATTATAAAAAATAAACAATACTTATAAAAATATTATTCAATTTTAAAATAACCAGAAAAACAAAACATAACCCAAGTGCAACTATCGACAGAAAAATGCTTATAACTCTGCTGGTACTTTTACGCGCATGGCTGTTTTTTGCATAACTGGGTCCAATTATAGAAATAATTTAATATTTTAGGATATATCACCGCTGTATGTGCATGACACAATATATCTATAGTGGGTTTTTGTTTAAACAAATAAACAATACTGTAACATACTAGTATACGTATAATGTAGTGTTAATTAGATTAACCTCTGTCTGTGACGGTGAGCAGGTTATTATTATAATTCAATAGGTAGGTAGATAATTATATTTTAAGTTTCTTTTTATCAGGATATACAAGCGACCGCAAGTATGTTTTATGCATAGGTAGGTAACAATATTAAAAGTTCAGAGATGATGATCGTATATTTGAATCTTACCTTTTTTTTATTTTTATTATAGCATGCTAATTCTTCAAAATGATTATTTAACTTTGCTTTAGGAAATCTAAAATAACTACTTAATTCGTTGTAACGCCCTAAATGCTGAAATGAGCCGAAATATCGTATTAATAATTTAAAAATATATTAAATAAGTAAAATTTAATAATGTTTATACTGTACAGTGTACCTACATATTTGTGTAGACATTATTATTTAAATATATGTATGTATAATTAAGAAAATCAGAATAATTTGCAATATAAAGTAAAAATCAAATAATTTTACTTCAGGATCTAAGATACCGCTTTTCCTTACAGTATCTTGTGGGAAATCGTTGGGAAATATTCTTCTGAGCTCCACGTCTTCGCTGTAATATACAGCAATAGTTATTAACAAATTATCTCATGAATATTTATTATGTATGATATGTTAAAATCACTTACTAGGTATAAATTACGCCATCACTTTGCTCCATTGAGCAGTGAAGGACCTATGAAATAGTTTCAAATTATAAACTATCAGCCATTAAAAAATATTAGGTCACATCATAAAACAAAAAATACGTACAATGTAAAATATGAACCATAACACAAACTGTAGCATAATATTTTGAGATCACTGTATTTTAAGTTTAATGTGTATTATACTTACACCACGTTATTTCGATATAAATTATATAGTTTTACGACGCAACGTATAAATTCAATTTGCTTCGTAGTTTTGAAGTGTGAAAGCAATTTTTGATTATAATTTGTTTTTGTCTGTAACTTTTAAATTGATAATCTTGTAATTTTCATAAAACCTTAAATACATTCATGGGGCAATCTTTGCACATTTATATAGTTATGTATTAAATAAAAATATATACGAGTACCTACGCTACGCTATCTTTAAAGGCACTCGTACATAATATGTGCGTATATATTAACTTTTGTGCCATCATTTTTGTACACTCTATGCTTCACTTACACAATATTTTTATTATTTGTATTTGTCAATCTTACAAATTCATAGATACAATTAATGCAGGGACAATATGAACTTTTTTGGAGTCCTTTATATCGTTGTAAAATGAAACTTTCATTGAATTAACAAAAACATTTTATTTGAACTATTAATATGGTTTAAATAATTCGTCTGTCGTTATATCTGATGTCATCTTCGTCAGTGTACGGCTGATAGCCTCTGGTATCTGCTACATACTTTACATAGTGGTAAAGGCCTTGTGGATCTAAGTATCCGTATTCACCGCGAACCACTAAACTTTGACTTCCGCTAGGGTGAGATATGATCCCTCCATCCTCTTTTCTAAACGTCCCGTCTTCATTTTGAAACCTTAAAATTTTAAATGATTCATGCAATTTTAAAAGTTTTCTTTATCTATTAGGCTATTTTAAAATATTTGCGTTCAAAATTCATATAACAAATCTATATTAACATAGTTGCTAATTTTCAATGTCACCGAAAGTAGTTTTATATTATTTTTATTCACATATCAGTCATATTAATAAATCATATATTAAAATAGTTTAGAAGGACCGGTTAGGGGAAAAACCAAATTTTATGACTAAACAAGTTCTTTATCATTCTGATTGTCTCATTATGGCACGTATTAATCTATACATATAATAAAATGATAACTAAATCTGTACATTAAATATTTTTTGAAAAATCTTATTGAAATAAACATTATTATCGATACAGAGGCCGAATCTATAGTTTTTAGAATTTTTGTCTGTCTGTCTGTCTGTCTGTCTGTCTGTCTGTCTGTCTGTCTGTCCGTCCGTCCGTCCGTCCGTCCGTCCGTATGTCCGTATGTCTGTATGTCTGTTACCGCATCACGGGGAAACCACTGGATAGATTTTGATGAAATTTGGTATGGTGATAGCTGGTTATCCGGGTCAACATATAGGATACTTTTTACCGCCGGAAAATGTCTCATTTGCTTTGTATGGGCTGGCACCGATTTCAAAAATATATGATTAGGTATGTATTTAAGAGGTAGGCTTTTATTACTTAGCCAAAGCACACCGACTTCGAAAATATTTGATTACGTATGTATAGTAAATGAAAACTACGAATCAGTTATTTTTTACTTTTTAGTGCTTTTGTTTGAAGTCGGTTTTTATTTTTTTGGTAAAAAGTGTTTATTTTTCCCTTTTTATTGTAAACAGTAGTAGCAAAGTAAGAATTCTAACGTGTTAGGCTTGTCAAATCAAACAAAATAAGCCCAAACTCAAAGTATCTACTATTAGCCGTTGAAGAGTTCCACCTATCCACCTTCTGGCCTTACCATCAGATCAGGTCAACAATACCGAACCACTGTACTATCAACGGAAATAGAAACACTTGCAAAGTTTCAAGTCAATATGACAATTAGAAGTAGGTTAAATTCATCTTCATCATTCATCTCTTAGGGGTGGTATTTTTTTTTTAATTTAAATGGGACCAATCTGGAAGTATACACTTTCAAACAACCTAAAAAGTTGTCCAAATCGGTTAATAAATGACGAAGTTCTGAGGTAACAAACATTAAAAAAAATACAGTCGAATTGAGAACCTCCTTTTTGAAGTCGGTTGAAAACTGCAATGTAAGAGTATACTAAAATGTAAAACCTAAGAATTTGATTTTTGGTCATCTGAACACGGGCGGAGCCGCGGGCAAAGCTAGATTTTTAATATTATTAAAGTTTTTGAACTTAATTTTTTTTTAAAATATTTTACTTACTTTCCTTCTGTAAGTAATTTGCTTATCCTGGGAATACAAAAAAAGTTCTAAATCTGTTTTTTCTAATTCGTGGTCAAAACATTGAAAGTAATGTCTTTTAACTCAATGATTTCGTTATTTAATAACTAGCGCCTTACCATGGTTTCGCTCGGATTCGTCCTTAGTGAAAAAGAAAAACTAATGTATCACACGGGAACCGTACATTTTTCCGGGATAAAAAGTAACTTATGTACTATTCCAGACTATACTCTATCTCTACTCCAAATTTCATCTAGATCCGTTCAGCCGTTCTGGCGTGATTGAGTAACAAATATACACCCTAACATTTGCTTTTATAATATTGATAATGGGATTAATGGGATTATTCTCTCGATTTCTAATGTTTTGTCAAAACATGGTATGGCCCAACTATTTTTTTAAATTAACACTTCACTAAAGACTAGGCGTTGGCCTTCTAGGAGATCGAATTTCGAAACACCTCGATACAAGGTATGAATTTCATTTAATGCCAAACAACGTATATATCAAGTTCCAAATTTTGACCAGAAAAATCTAACTTCCCACAGAAATTTTGACACACCTTTCACACTTGGACTATTAAAAATTTTGGTCCTTGAAATTCAACGGTTTGGTCTGAGTTTTACTGAATGTAAAATTAAAAAAAACTGTTATTTTGGGATAGGAAAATTAAAAAAAAGTTTATATGTACGTACTCAAAGCTATAACTTCCTAAACCATTATTGTTAAAAATAAGCTTTTTAATTTGATTTTCAAGGCCGTTGGACGCAGAAAGCCTGACAATTGCTGCATAGTAGACGACTGCGATGAGGCAGATGCGCGCACCTTTTACCTGCGTAACATATACAATATGTCAAGGCCAACGGTTCATAAGCGAACATCAATTTACTGGAAACCAAAGAACAAAAAACATTATGTATCAAGTCAATATAACGATTCAACACACGGATATGAATAATAATTTTATTGTTATGGACAAGACCAAGCGTGACCCATCTAAAGTCGTGATCACTAATCTCGAGGAACTCTGATATTGATTAACAGATCTCTAGTCAGATTAGTTTCCCTAAAATACTTTTGATAATATGTAAAATATAAAACTTAAACTTATTAATACATAGCGCAGAAAAAATATTATCTTTACGAAAGAACATTAGAAAAAAAAGAAAAACTTACCATCGTTTAAATTTATTTTTCTCGCTGTGTGTTTAAGTAACTGCGGCATTAGTCCAACTGTCCACACTTTATATCCAGTTCCTCAAGAATGTCAAGCCTGGACCTCATTCCTTACAAACAATGCGCCAAGGACTCTATCAAGTCATTGACATCATATATTTCTTATGTAAATACAGGAATGGCTGTTACAAATTATTATTAACAAAAAAACTCGTAGCAAACCTGCTAAGTTTACCGCGAGGCAATTTTATAGTTCGACTATATAACACGAGAATCTTATTTTTTGTTGCATATTTTTATTAATAACACATTTTTCTTTGAGCCTTAATATTCTTATATATTTTAGAGAAAATAACAGATTTACGTATAGTATTACAAATGATAATTTTAGCACAGTATGTTTCATTTAATGAGCCGATGTTTAGGAAACCACTGCAAGTATTTTCTTGACATTTGAAGGAAGCGAAACGAGGATACTCACGACGTGTCTATTTCGCAACAGATACATGATGAAAATATTAAAATAAAATATACGGGGTGTAGTAAAATCATTTATTTGTGACATTAGTGGTAATGCACAGTTTTAGCATTCAAAAACAAAATCTATTAATATTTTTATAATCATGTTATTAGTACAATAATAAAATATGCTCGAGTGCTAATAATTATAAGCCACAGAATTAGAACATAAGGGAAAAAATTATCACGCGTCATACGCTCTGAGCGGATGGGAGCGGGACCGAAAAAAGTGTAATAAGACTTTCCCGAGACATCCTGCTATAGATACAGCCGTGTATGAAATATGTATATAAATCTCTCCCGCGCGCCGAAAGACTCAACGGCTCTCTTCTCTTCAGCTTTTTTTAAACTTTTATTAATATTTTTTTAGTAAACTAGTATTGCCCGCGGCTCCGCCGGATTGACCCGGATAACCAGCTATCACCATACCAAATTTCATCAAAATCCCTCCAGTGGTTTTTCTGTGATGCGGTAACAGACAGACAGATAGACAAAAATTCTAAAAACTATAGATTCGGCCTCTGTATCGATAATAATGTTTATTTCAATAAGATTTTCCAAAAAATATTTAATGTACAGATTCGGCTTAGTTACAATTTTAGTATATGAATAGATAATTAATGTTTATTTCTAAAGTTAAAAAAAACTATAATTAATAAAATAATATTTATACAGTTCTTAATTTTTTTATTAACTTAATTATATGGGTGTTTATATTTATAAAAATATGTATGTATTTAAAGCTATATGTTTATATATGTGTAATGTATCAACTATCTGGTATCCATAACACAAGCCTCGTAGCTTACCATGAAACTAGATGGTGCTGTGTCCCCACATATTTATTATCCCAGATAATTCAGTGTTTAATTTATCATTATTTATTTTGTACATAATAAATATATTTTCTCGTAAATTTATCAATTGAACTCAATCAACTTGATATTTTATAATATAAATTATAACGACTGTACAGCAAATGTCTACCAAAAATCACTTCGGAAACTTCGGAAATGAATTTCGTTCCGACCGGGTTCCATAGAACCCTCATTTTTTTAATTATCAATATTAACTGTTAAATTCAATTTATTATTATTATTTCTGTTAACTATTTTATTTCATCATACAATATAAATATGCAAGATTACTTAATGTAAAGGTTGCTGCACGAGGCATGCCCATGTTACTATTTAATGCAAAATTACAAAATATTACATACAAATGTACAGGACTCTATGATTTCGTTGTTTCTTTGAAAACTAAAGACCAATCACCTGTTTTATTTATATGCATAGATTAATATTAAATTATGGATAAGTCAATCCAGATATATAATTTTATGTATATTGTATAACTTGTTGTTATAAAAACTAACGTAATATTATTAGAATTTTTATGTCACTGATGTCAGCATCGGGCATAAAGGTAAAGCTGAATATTTAAGTAGTTTAAGACAGTGGCTCGTATAGTATTTGGAAAGAGAATTAAAGGTAGCCAATATCCATTTCCGTGATGAATGAATATTATGTACTTAAGTCATGTTTTTCATCAAAATCTGTTCCACGTAATAACAAACATACAAACAAACAGAGATACTTTTCTATTAATACTAAGAGTATATATAGGAAGCCAATTTATTTTATTAAATAAATAAGTGCTAAGTAATTAAATTAAATTTAGTATAAATCATTCAAGAACACCAATAGTCTTTGAACTTTTTATAATACTGGTTCTGTCTGTATAATACTGAGTACCGTCGGTGTAAAGAGCGTGTCTGACCAGCCCTGTTTCAACAATGGAGTCGTTGGTTCGATTCACGTACATAGATAATGAAATTAATATAAGTATGAAGGTTTCAGGCATATCGAGCAACAGATAACACCGTCAAGCATTCATTCCAATATTTTCTGAGGATTTATATTTTATTATATTGGTTGTACCTATCTGTAGCCTATACCACAAAAGAACGTGGATAGAGATGAAAAATGCACATGGTAATTATTTAAAACTTAGTAATATGTTATGGGTAATTAAGTAATACTCATAATTTTAATTTTAATTTCATGTTTCGCAGTGAACGATGTCGCTCATTAGCCAAGTAGAGATGCCACAACTGCGCTCGGTGGTGCTCCGCCCTTAAAATATATTTTAAATTAAAAATAATTCAAGTTATTTTAAGCAGCTTCATTTAAATCTGAAAGGTTTCTTATTTTATACTTTGATTTTTAAAAGCTCCTCAGTCTTGTTGGGTATTTTATTTCCAACATTGCAAGTATACATAGAAAACAACAAAATATCTACGAAAAATGTTTACGATTGATCGATTTTATAACCTGAAAGGAAATAATTATCGTTATCTTTACCCACTTTTTCTAATAACTTAATCAATCAATTAATTTTATAATATATGTCATCACTTTTCCTAGTTCCTACACGTTCAAACACATGCAATTGTTTACTGTAGTGGGTACCTAATGTGTTATAAGATAATTCACGTGCCACCTGACGTAAGCTGACGGTAAATACTGTGTCAACAATCGTTGTGGGCGGGTATTGCAAAGTATTACCATATATTAAAAATTATATTTTTTATGGCATTCAGTGACAAACGAGCAGACAGCCTACCTGATGGAAAGCGGTATCTGTCACCTTTAACACCTGCGGAACATGCACTTAGGTTTTATGTTACAAAAATGAAAACCGCAGGTGCGTTGTCACTGTGAGGACTAAGATGATATGCCTCCTGCCTGTAATTGCGCTGGCTACCTTATCCTTTAAACCAACAATGTAATCATTGTTGCTTGGCGGGAGAAATAGATAAGGGGGTGGTACCCATCCAGTCGGACTCCTCAGGCTTGACAGAGTCTTACCACCGTGGTAGAAATTATATATTTAGAATCTAATATTATAAAGACGAAAGATTTTTTATGTTTCTTTGTTTGTGCCGAATAAGCTCCGAAACTACTAGACCGATTTAGATGAAACTTGGTAAGGAGATATTTTGAGACCCTGAAAAGGACACAGGATACTTTTTATCCCGGAAATTATCCCTTAAGGGGGTGCATGGGGACGAAAGTTTGTAAGGGGAATCAATCTAGGGGCGAACCCAAACGAAACGAGGGTAAGTCGCTAGTAATTAATAAAGGCGTAAGCAACGTTTCAAACAGACAGACAAACATACGTGATGTTTACATTGAAGTAATATTTTAAACGTGAAAGTTTGTATCTAGACGTGGTTGTTACTTTTTCATGCTGAAATGGCTTGACGAATTTAGATGAAATTTAATCTTATGGATTTTAATGTCAGATTTTCAGGTACGCACCAGGGAAAAGCGTATGTAAATCGCTAGTAGATATTAAATTATAATTTAAAGAAACGAATGATAGATACCAGAATTCTGTTTGTTAGATTTGTATTGACCTGCAATAGTTGAGGAGGTAATAGCCGAAATCCGTCCTTATCTGCTTCGTACATCCATGCCTCTTCATTTCCATCAGGTGTTATATAAAATACTTTGCCTTCTACCAAGATGTACTGAGAAGGGAGACCCTCATCGACTACAGTTCCTGTTTCAGATTTTGTTATACCATTTGAAGTTGAAAAACTGAAATGAAATATGATTTTTCTATGATTTATAAAAACTTTTTAACAAAAAAATAAAAACCGACTTCAAACAAAAGCACTAAAAAGTAAAAAATAACTGATTGGTAGTTTTCATTTACTATACATACCTAATCAAATATTTTCGAAGTCGGTGTGCTAATATAAATGACGGAGTTCTGAGGTAACAAACATAAAAAAAAAATACAGTCGAATTGAGAACCTCCTCCTTTTTGAAGTCGGTTGAAAATAGAGCGAAAGCGATAGTTTATTTATATGTGTACGTTGTCACTTCGTTATGATGAAATGGCTAAGTAAATTTAGATAAAATTTAGTATAAAGATATACTATGACTTCAAATAACACATACTCGTATGCTGCTTTTGAGAACCTAAAATCGATTTTTAATTCCACGGAATTATGACAGCTATCTTTCTTTGACAATTCAGATATCATAAACCTTTTCTGCTTTGTATTTTTTTAATTTAAAATAACAAAAAATATGAAACAGAATTAGATCAAGTAAACTATATGTATGACATTGTAAATAGTCTTTGTTTTGTGCATTTAATGCACGCTAACTATAATGTAAATTTTTAATGGTTAAATGAATAAAACAGAGTAAAACAAAATATTTTACAAACAAAGGGGTTTTACTAAAAAAGGCTTGCAACGTGCATGGATTATTGGACAGGGATTCCTGTAATAGAAAAATTATTTTCTTAATAATTATTGTAACTTCAATAATATGATAATAAAAAAAATTACCATTTTAGAGTTATCAATATTTTTTTAGTCTTAGTTTTTCTAATTGAAACCTTAACTTCAAGAAAGGTTTATTTTTTTTATTTTGCTAAAATCGTCGAATTAAAAATCAGACTATAGGTAGGCGCCAGAAGGTAAGAAGTAAGAGTGTTATTATAATTTTAATTAAAATATATTTAATTTCATTTATTCGATTATATTTTAGTAGCAAGCTAGGTTTTTTAGAATTAACCAAGAATACCAAAAAATACAAATAATACTAAACTATGACATGCATAAGAACCCCTTGGGTAAAGTAAGTGAAACACATTGTAAACATATAGTAATATGTAAATAAGAAGAAATTGTGTCTTTTTTGTTTAGTTAAATGTGCTAATCTGTGGAACTAAGAGTCAAATTTAAATAAACTTCCGTTACATTTTATAGCCTATTTATTGAGTAAAACTAAATATAGGCTATTTTACATCAAGTTACGATTCTTAGAAGTCAATTACACATAAATAAATTAACTACATATAAATAGATTGAGAGCCCAAAACTGCTTGCTTCTGAAACTTTAGTCTTAATCCAAATTATAGGACATAATAATATAATAACTCTGGGAGTAGAGTAAATATTATAGATATAGGTTTTATAATAATAATTGAATTTGTACCTGTAGTTATAATTTCCTTTTCCGTCAGTGTTGAATTCATACTGTAATATTTTAGCTTCTTGATCGCTTTGTAAAGGGGCACTTTGCGTTAACACGAATAGACTTAAAGCAGCCAGTAAACAGCGCATGGTTAAAGAGGTAGCACAGTAAAAAGTAGACGGTGATTCTACTTAAATAACGTATAATATTATTAGCTGAACTAAAATATTGAAAATACTGTAACAGGAAGTACGTATAATAAAGTTAATATTAAAAACAACTATGTTTACTGAGCGGTGGTGTTTGAATTGGTTTACTAAAAACAAACTATATATATATAGCACTAACAACTCCCAACCGGTTCGTAAATATTTCAATGTCTTTTCGTAACTAATGCTTGTATTTTGTGAATGACCATCCAACGCACACATTTTATCGCACGGCATCAAATAAAGAACACAAAAAATTGTTGCAGCAACAACTATACGCTAGGCGCTAAATGGTTATACTTGAGCCCTTGGTTTCTGTTTGTCTATTAATAAAGTGATAAAAACTTAATACATAAGGTAAAAACTTTATAACTGTACCTATAGAAAAAAAACAATAACATCCAAAGGTCAAGGACTTTAACAAAACCAATAAATCCTTTTCTAGCCGACTTGAAAACAGAAAAAAAGGTGTGTAAAAAAAATCTTAGCAACAAAAAAATGTATTACCAAAGGACAATGCTTAATAATTATACATGTTAATAAAATTTAAAAAAAAAACCGACTTTCAGGCACTAAAAGTAAAAAATAACCGAAAGGAGGTTTTCATTTATCATAGATAACTAATAAGATATTTTCGTAGTCGGTGCCAGCCGACAATGCTTTAAGATATGAATATCTCATAGGTAAATATGACAAGGTATTAACTTTAATTATTTATGGTTAAAATATTATGCATCAATTTGTGATGTATACATACATATCGAGATAGATTTGCTTCGGCTTCAGCATCGGCTGGGACCGCCTTCGAAAATATCTGATTAGATATCTATAGTAAATAAAAGCCCCCGTTTAGTTATTTTATACTCCTTAGTGTCTGAAAGCCGATTATTATTATATATTTTTTCATTTTTAGTGTGACGTAATAAGCAGGTAATTTGTAAGAAAATAGTTCTTTAAAATATATTCGATTAAACCAATTATGTTAGTATGCTGCCAAATATAGAAAGACTAACATGCTAAGAAACTCACTTTTATTAGTAACACTAAAAATTAGGCTCTAAAATCCAATTCGAAAGTATTAGGCTTATCAAATGAAATCAAACAAGCTCAAACTCCAAGTATTTACTAGTAGCCGTTGAAAAGTTCCACTATCCACCTTTTCACCTCATCATCAGATCAGCTCGATGATATCAAATAAATATATTATCATCAGAAATACAAAAACTCGTAAAGTTTCAAGTCGATATGACAATACAATAAGAAGTACGTAAAAAAGATCATTTAGATCTGCGAATATACTTCAAACTTCATGATTTTTTTGATTTTCTCGAAAACGGTACACTCTGTGTCAAAAAAAATACGAGACTACCTCGAGACCTATCTTAATAGAATACAGTTTAAAATAGCAAAATCGGTCAAGCCGCCTTCGAGAAATCGGTGGACATACCTAGCTCTCTTTGCAATTTTATTTTAATAATTTCCGTGATTAGAAAATATCTTGAATAATTAAGAAAAAGTTGTAAACACGAGCACTACAGTCTACTGGAACTTAATAATTAGCATCTATAGTACAGATCATCCGCAACCTATAGTTTTATGTGCATGGTCTATAGATAATTAATAATTACTGCATTATTATTCTACAATAAGTATACGTCAAAAATGCACTATAAAAATATGATATAAAATATTCCTAAGTTATAAATTCTGTATAAATAAGTATAAATAACATCCTAACCATATTGTGTAATACGAAATGAGATCCCAACAAAACAGTAGTATGAGGATGTGTTATAAAATATCAGATTGTTATATAATTCGAATTGTACAATTCGAATTATATCGGCTTTGTCTCTTAAGGAATCGTCCGCCCATTATTGATTTATGGTATATCGAAATTTATTCGTTGACATTTATCATAATTTCCTTATGCGTGTAACACTTGCCAGATGACTTCAAATAGATGGCCTATCGATTTGTATAAAGCCTTTTGATTGTATATATTCTTTCTATTGCAAACGACAATGTATGTAAATGGTTACAGACTGTAGACAATGTTAACAATCTGATTGACCCCATGTAAAGGTAGCGTTATGTAAGTTTTATTATCCACCATCGAAATACCATCTGTTAACAGGAACAGACGTGTATAATATTGTGCTTAAATTGTATTATGATAATGAAATGTATTCTATTTGTGGTGTATTTTATTTGACTGTTTCAGCTTTTACTTATTCGGATTACATCACATTACTATAGGTTTCCTATAAGATACATAAGTAATTGATAATCGTATTCAGCCCTTTTTTAACGTCCCACTGTTGGGCGCGGGCCTCCCATCAATACAAGGGGGATCAGGCCATAGTCCACCACGCTGGCCAAGTGCGGGTTGACGGACTTCACATGTCTTTCGAAAACTTGCTAGGTTCTCTCAGACATGCAGGTTTCCTCACGATGTTTTCCTTCACCGTAAGGCAAGTGGTGATCATGTTAGAAATGATTCGCACATGAAAATATCAGAGGTGCGAGACCCGGAATTTGAACCCACTTCACTAGGTTTCCTAAGCGAGCGCGTTACCACTGGGCTACCACTGCCTTATTTGATAATCGATGACTGCTAATTAAGTAACTTTTTTTATTACCTTTACATACTTTTGCAACTGTTTGTTTTTTGACCTAGTGAGATGGCATTGATCCTGGTTTTGTTTTAAGTAAATTTTGATATTTTTTATACGATACATAATTGTCATATTATAAGAAATACAAAGCCGAATCATCCGACGTAATAAGCAGACATACCCCAGATGTCGCACCCGTTGCCATTTCGGTTCGATTAAACAACTTCATTAAGTAATAATGTATTTCATTCGCATTTATGTAAATATATTGTAGGAGGTTTTCAATATGGAAAGTTCTTAATTATTAAAAATGTATTAATATAGTAGAAAAACAAGTTTATGAATGTTTTAAATATATTATTATCTTAATTTACTCTTCTTTTAAGTAACTTAAGAAAAGTAACTTTTAAGAAATAATAATAATTTATCTTTTTTCACATCCAAATGCTGCGACTTTGCGCTGGTCGAACACATATACTAAAATTCTAACTGAGTCGTGTGTACATATATTATAAATATTTTTTTGGAAAATCTTATCGAAGTAGTCATTATTATCGATACAGAGGCCGAATCTATAGTTTTTAGAATTTTTGTCTGTCTGTCTGTCGGCCTGGAATGCATCACGAGAAAATCGCTTGACAGATTTTGATGAAATTTGGTATGATGATAGTTGGTTATCCGGGTCAACATATAGGATACTTTTTACCGCGGACAAATATCTTATCTCTGAGAAATTTATACTAAGCGTTAAAACGTAAAAGACGATCCCGAGCGGAGCGAGGGTGAGTCGCTAGTATATATTATAAATATAGTTAAGTTTAAGAAAAAACAAATTATTATATAGTAATAGGTCAAGACAAGACTGCGACCTTCAATTGCTCAGTTTTTATAATACGAGTATATTCGTTTCACATTACGCACTATATTTATTCCAATATATTTCCCTATATACAATAATATATTCAATCATTAAGTTGTAATTAATACTAAACTATTTTTTTTTAGTTTTATTAATGCTATATATGTACATTTTGTATACTAATTTATTTTGAAACTAGCCACTCGCCCTCGCTTCGTTCGGGTTCGTCCCTAGATACGTTTTAACGGTTAGTATAGATTTCCCAGAGATGAGATATTTTCCTTTATAACCAGCTATCATCATACCAAATTTCATCAAAATCTGTCTTGTGGTTTTCTCGTAATGTTTTCTCAGACAGACTGACAGTCAGACAGACAAAAATTCTAAAAACTATACATTCGGCCTCTGTATAGATAATAATGATTATCTCAATAAGTTTATTTTTAATTTAATGTACAGATTCGACTCAGTTACAATTTTATTATATGTATATATATGTTTATGTGTAGCCAATATATTTTCCTACATGCAATAATATATTCAAACATGGGTTAATTTGTAATTAATAACTAAACTACATTTTTTGTTAGTTTTATTAATGCTATATACATTTTTTATTTTAAACTAGCGAATCACCCTGGCCTCGCTTGGCTTGGGTTCGTTCCTAGGTACGTTTTAATGGTTAGTATAGATTTCTCAGAGGTGAGACATTTTCCCGCAACAAAAAGTATCCTACATGTTGGCCCGGATAACTAGCTTTCATCATACCAAATTTCATCAAAATCTGTCCAGTGGTTTTCTCGTGCTGCGTTCCTACACAGACAGACAGACATTAATTCTAAAAACTTTAAAATTGGCCTCATTTCTCGATAATAATGACTATTTCAATAGGATTTTCCTAAAAATATTTAATGTACAAATTCGACTGAGAATTTTATTATATTAGTATAGATTTGTATACTCGTAAATTAATTTTTGTTGTTTACTTTGTAGTGACATCTATGTTAAAATATATGGACGCCAATAGCATAGCTACAATGAATGCTTCATTCGTCATTGGTTTCATAATATTTATTGAAACTGATGTTAAGAGCTTTGCTTTAACTTAACAAGATGGCGCTGCACCGTACATTTTGTTATATTGCAAATTGCAATGGAATGAAATATAAACGTAATTGTAAATTAGTTTTATAATCTCAACAATTTTAATTAATGTTAAAGATGATAAAATACACAATTTATCCAATTTTATGTACTTTACTTATTGTATTTTAATAGAATTTCTATATTGTGTCATACTTTTACTATAATATTACCCTATACTTGAAGTGTCTGCAGTATGTAATTGTACGCGTCGGGTGTCTCGGAAACATGATGACAATTGACAATCGTGAGCTTGAACATAGTTTGCCTTCCCAAAGGCACTCCTAGAAGCCACAAACCTTAAGAATTGTATTGAATAGTTTTCCTTGGCAAACTTAGAAGTCCCTTAACAGACTTCGAACTCATGTTAGCCGAAGTAAGGAAAACTTGTCCAGGTGGGGATTTGTAGGTCTGGAGTGCAGATGTGGAGCTGGTCCACAAAATAAGAGGCACTAAACTAGATAGATTGACCTTTAAAACTTGGTTTTCATAAAAAAATCTATAAATAAAATATCAATCGTAGAGGGTAATGTTTATTGTTTGTTACTGCGAAATACACGGTGAGCAAGTTAGTCTTGGTTTTAAGCTTCCACGCAGCTTTATAAGATATCAAATTTCCACTGCATTTATGATATTTTTATACTCGTAGACGTCGTCATTCACTACGTTCACATTCCATTGCGGAGTAAAAATGTTAGTGGCAACTTTATTAACATCATTTTATCCTGTTAAGAGTGCGGTCTTTTCTTCTAATATCCACTTCATATCTTCAACTTCTAATTAATGTAAATATATTTTATCACAACAACTACAATTGCAAAACTATACATAAAAATATACTAAAATTATACAAAGAAAATTGTAGAGCAGATTACTCTTAAAATACTACGAATAAATAATAAGTCGTAGCATCCATATCTTTCATTTCTGCTAAGAATAATTTACCACCAAAACAACAATTGCAAAGTAAAAAAAAATATAAATTAAAATAATATAAATACAAATTAAATAATTATATAATTATGCAAAATACATTCTTAAAATTTATTTATTAGGCCTGTGTGGAAGTCAAAACCAACAACTGTTTGGATTCAGGAAATAAACTTATAACAGTACATATTATACATAATTATATATTAGAACAATATACCTACATTTTTAAATTTATGGTATTTAATTGATTAAATTAAACAATTTTTTATATAAAAAACAATCTGTTATATAATTTGGAATATAACTTCTTTAATTAATCCAAAAAAAAATTAAGCAAAATATTGAATGCAAGAGCAATTTTATTTATTGAATAAATTATGCACTGATCAAATAACAATTTTACTATCTTTTGTGAAGCTTATATATATTTTTTTTATTTTAAAGTTAAATACCACTTTCCGTGTATTTCGCGTTAAGAATAACAGAATTTCATACCATCTTTGATCCCCTATTTTACCCCCTTAGGGGTTGAATTTTGAAAAATCCTTTCTTATCGGATGCCTACATCATACACAGAATACACCCTCCAAGTGTCAGGTGTCTACGATCAGTGGTTTAGGCTGTGCGTTGATCCGTCAGTCAGTCATTCAGGGCAAAGAGTTTTATATGTATAGATTATTACTTTTATTTCTAGTATGTTTATTTCTTGCACTATATTGCCTGCTGACATCTTCTTCCACATATAGGCGTTTGACTGGAAGAGATCTCTTTCACTTTGTTAACTAAGTCCACCTTTGTTAACTATTTTTTTTTCTGTATTACATTTAAAGTGCAATAAAGAATATAATAATAAAGGTAAATCTGCAACAAGCATTTAAATCATACATACATACATATTACATATATATTTACGGTAACAACTGTTTTTGGGGTATATACTTTCCTCATATAGCACTGAGGCGAGTGTTGGGGCAGAGTAAGACAGTAGCCCAGTGGTAACGCGCTTACTTGGAAAACCGAATGAAGCGGGTTCAAATTCCGGGACTCGCATCTCTGATATTTTCATGTCATTTCCAACATGATTACCACTTGACAAACAACTTGAAACATTGTGGAAAACCTCCATGTCTGAGAGAACTTAGTAAGGTTTTGAAATACATGTGTCGACCGCTAACCCCCACTTGGTCAACGTGGTTGTCTATTGCCTGATCCCCCTTCGTATTGAAGGGAGGCTCGTGCCCAGCAGTGGGACGTTAAAAAGGGCTGAATATTATACATTCCTCAGTTTGTGCCAATGAAAATTTTTACTATTTTTTTGTAAATATACCTACATAGAATTGAAATTAGTATAAATGAATATGTACATATCTACTAAGAAAGCGGATTTATTAACGAAACCAAAACGCTAAAACAAGTAAAATATTAAACGGTGCCAACTTAATAAGTAAATAAAACAAAATATATTAATTTTCTCTTTAATAATCTCGTAAAATCTTATCAAATAAAATACATCACAGTAGCATTATTATAACTAAGTATATGTCACACGTCCAAGAGGCGTAAGTCGTAGGAAATTCTTGCCGGTATCATATTTAAAGAGCCTTAACCGCGGAAGGGTTGTTGGAATTGGTTTTCGGGCTGGGCAGGTTTAGATTGGATGTATTGGATAGCGCGTGCAATAGCTTCAGGGATGGGATGGGGAGTGGGCAGATGAGCTCCTTCAGCACGGAAACCTTCAAACCAAAGACAGACAATTTAATATAAAATAATAATAAGTCATATATTATTCAGAAATGTAATATTATGATGTTCGAATAAAGATTATTTTTGGTACTAAAAATTATATATGTACAGTTAGGGATATTAATATTTGTTTTTCTTACCATAAAATGCTTGGTTAAAATAAATTTCGTATACTCGTAATGTAAGCTTAACAAACAATAATAGAGAAAGCTTTTGTAAGAGACTGGTGTAACGTTTAGGTATAAGTAAAAACTTGTATGATAAATCATAACAACTGCAATTCAAAAGGAGTAATTATTCAGCAAATTATTTTCTTACTATTCTGTATTAATATTATAGGTAAAAAAATATATTTGTAATTCTATTTATGATATATATTAGTTTGGCTTCCATTGAACTTTTGTTATTTTTGGATAATAGGACTTACCGTTTTCATCAGCGATGTAAGTCACAGAAATGGGCAGACCCTCAGGTGACGTATAACTGTAAGAGCCTTGTGCAACTTGCGCCTCTGTGTCTTTGATGCCACGGTTCTTCAGATAACCTTGCTCTTGGGCTGCGATGCCGTTACCGGTTTCATAGCTAAATGAACAATGTGAATAGAAATATTTATAAGAAAATATTTGGACCTACCTATATTTTTATGTAGTTTTAGCTTTAAGAAAGAATGATTATCAGTCGATTCAAATATACCAAAAATACTTTCAAAGACTTTATGCGATGATATTAAGTGTAAATAAGAGAATCGTACACAGACCATATATACAATTTTATTTGTAAACTAGAATTGCCCGCGGCTCCTCCCGCGTTCAGATTACCAAAAACCAAACTCTTAGGTTTTACATATTAGTATACTCTTACAATGCAGTTTTTGTATTTTTTTCTCAGATATGAGATATTTTCCTGCGGTGAAAAGTATTCTATATGTTGACCCGGATAACCAGCTACCATCATACCAAAATTCATCAAAATCTGTCCAGTGGTTTTCTTATGATGCGGTAACAGACAGACAGACAGACAAAAATTCTAAAAACTATAGATTCGGCCTCTGTATCGATAATAACGTCTTTTTCAATAAGATTTTAAAAAAAATATTTAATGTACAGATTTGGCTTAGAATTTTATTATATGTATAGATATGTAAGTTAAAGAGTTTCTATTAATGTTTATTGCCTTATTTTACTTAAAAATAACCGTTGGTCTTGGTTTCTGTTGACCTTTGGATGATCTGGTAAACGTTTACATGAAAAGATCTTATCCTGGTTATGCTGTTTTAAAGTTAAAATATTTTTATAGTCAGCAAAATGTGTCATCGTTATGTTCAATTGCCTTTTGAGTCACTTTTCTGGAATCGATAGCGATCTCTACTTAACCATATAAAGCGTGCAGAAAAAAACATTTTACTTAATATATTATTTTAAATGCACATTTTGTAAAATATAATATTTGATAAGCTTTTCAAAAACTATCTTTTCTTATTATTTGGCCGATTTATTTTGATTTTTGGTTCCCGACGTTTCGAATGCTTTACAGCAATCATCATCATGATCTAAGAAAGTATTAAGCTTAAGCTTATTAAGGTATAACTTCTTTTTAAAAAATTATTTAAACTTTATAACTATCATTCATAATTATTAGAAACATTAATTTTGTGTGTCTTAAAAACACGTGCTTTTTCCCTTATTAAGATTACACATAAAAAAGTTATATAATTAATAATTATTCATCAAACACCTTTGAAGTAACGGTGTTTTATGGTAGTAGTTGCAAAAGACTTGATTGCATTTTGGAACTAAGTTGTAACCTTATTAGCATAGACTCAACATACATATATTTACATATGAGATCACATAATGAGAGTGTGTTAAAGCCTATTCTGTTGCACAAGAAAGGCTTGGGCCCAACTTGAGCTCTATTTCACAAAACACTCCCACTTTAATATTAACTTGACAGAAAATTAATGTAATTTATATCTTTGCGTATATTATTAACTATTTCGGTTTAAATTTTGTGAAATGAAATGTTTACGATAGTAGGTAACAAAAGGGCGTTACCTATATTTATTACATGCCGTCATCTTAGGTCATAGGTATACGTTTATCATAATTCTCTAAAATTGTACGATAAATTAAAGTATAGCTAAAACGAAGAATTGACTATGAAATCTTACTTTTTATTTATTAAACCTTAAAATGCGATTGTGAAGCTTTATTATGCTTTTATAAGCATCTAAAAAAGCTCTTATTAAAATTCATTGATTCAAAAATGTTCATTTTACATGTTTAGTAAGTTTAAGGATATATTTATTAATAACAGTATTTTTACCTGAATTGATAAGAACCATCTGGATTGATTTCTTGTGTCTGTCTGATGATGGGGATTATATTTTGAGCCTGATATTGTGGCTGATTTTGGTACTGGAATTGGGGTGCTGCGCAAGCCATGGCCACGAGGGCAGATAATATTATAAACTGGAAAATAAAAGAAAATTTATAGTTGTGGCTTAACTAATTTTTCAATCGGAGGATAAAAACTTCATAAAGAACAATACAAAATAAAATTACTATTATATAGTGTGTTGTAATTGAACGCTTATTTTGTTCCACTTTTATAATTAATTAATCAGGTTTATCTGATAAATGTAAGACTAGGTTATAATCAACAGTATAACAATTACAAATCAACATAGTTCAAGCAAATTGTGAGAAAAATGTAACATAATTCAACTAAAAGATTTAAGTAACGTTTTTGAGTAATATCTTAATACAGACAAATAATAAGAATCTCGTCCGATTGCAAATATAATGGCCATAAATAACCAAATGCCATAACATTCATTTGAATTTTTATTCCCCACAACATTGCCATTTAGATAGAACTGATGCATCTATTTACGTAATTAAATCACACGCAATCTTTGACCGACTTTTCACAAAAAATATCAGTTTCAAGTTTAATTGTGATGCATTATTTTTATTATCCTTATATTGGGAATAAGAACATTTACAAAAATATTACAAAAATTTTAATTTTTTATTCCTTAGTTTTAAAATTAACATTATATAAATAATTATTTTTTTATATACTATATCTTTTATAATTATCATTAGAATGTTAATTAAAGTTAATATTTTGATTCTAAATAGCTTTATAAAAGCTTTTTAATTGAAGAATGTGACCCGAAATATTTTTTATCTATATTTATAACTTACCGATCTCATTTTTTATATTGTTTAATTTAATAAAGAGATGTGATGATCCTCGGTGGATGTGTAAGGCTGGAATGATTTTTCAGATCGACGCTGAGGCTTTTATACGAAGCAGTGTCAGCGCTGTGCGTGAAATTGGAGTATAGCGTTTCGAAGGCGCAGGCGCAAGTCTCAGGTACATCAAAGAGCCGCCGCATCTTTGCCATCTCTTCATATTTTAAATCTTAAAAAAATATGAATCATACAAAACTGAAATATTTTTGCAATCACTTAAACGTGAGTTGCTTATTCATGTACGGTTTTTAAATTAATAACAATATGTTTCATCGTAAATAAAACGTAATGGATATTTTCATTAACATGTATCATCCAGCAGTATCTTTAAATCCAAAAATGGACATATGAATGATGAATTACTATCATGATTGTCTTTTTTTAATATTTATAGTATATAGCATTATGTAAATTAGTCGCCATTTTAAGAAATAGCCGGAAGCTATAAAAAGGTAGGTAGTGAAAAGATAAGGTGATTTGCTCTTCACCTTTGGAAGAGTTAAACTAATAGAGATTGTTATACCTATACTTACATATTAACAACATTGTGCGAAACCATCTTTAAGGTTAAAATTCTAAATAAGTAAAAAAGAGTTCCAAAATAAGAAGAATATATTTATATTCAAAAAACATTCAAAGGAAGAATTTTAAAACTCTATCATATATTTATAGCTTTTAGCCTAAAGCTTGAGAATAAAAGCTTTTAAGAAATATTGTCTTTCTTCATTTGCCGCTTTTATATGTCGTACAATGCAGATTGATAATCCGAAGGAGCTTTAACATTTGTCTTTCAAAAGTAAGATATACGAGTTTAAACGGATCAATTTTCGTATATAAATCACGATGTCCATTTATTGTGATAAGCCTTTGTTCGAGTTGTTTGGCTGTTATTAAAGAGTAAGAATTTTCCGTGGTCTAATAACAGAAAGCAACCCAAAAGGGGTTGTAATAATATTTTAGATCCCAGAGTTTCTTGTGTGTGTTTCAACGCCACAATACAATGTTAACTTCCCGTGCTATAATTATTATTTTATTTATCAGATTATCAGCCAATTAGACACTTCTTGAGCATGATTTTAGGAGAACTTTTATCACTGTGTGACGGCTTTTTTCAAAGAGCTTTTTGACTTAAATGTAAAATCAACTTTTGTTTATTTATTATAAATACCGTCTTTCTTATTTAAGAAAATTTAGTAATAAATAATTATGGGTACAATTTAAGATCAAAATATAACAAAATATGTGTATTTAGTTTTTATATAAAAAATATTTCGTAAAAAAAAATCAGCCGTGAGAACTTATTTCTGAAAACGAGAGTAAGAATCATTTATTATATTTTATTTAGGGGGTTATGTATTTGAACTGTTTGTATGTACATACTCGTATGTATGTATGTGCAATGTATGTTGCCTCGTAATTACTAAAGTGCTTAAGTGATTTTAATTATTTATACGTGATTAGATTTCTCTTTATAATGCGAGTGTTATAATATATAGGTATGCATGTACATATGTTTTTAAGAGGCAATCAGAAAAATATATATATAATAATATATATGTTTAAAAATAATTTAAGATAACAAGGTGGGACTATATAATTCCAGTGTGTTTAACTCCTCAAAAAAAATTATTGCATATGCAAATAAAAAATATCGACAGCGCAAAAAGCGAACTACACACGCGAAGCCACATATGAACATGTTTGTCAGTTTTCAAAAAAAAACTTTAATTGCTAAGTTTTTGCTGAAACGATTGAATTTTTGATTTTGTAAACGGTAAAGCATCTTGAAACTATTTTAAAAGGCAAAATTTTGCGCTATTTTGGCTTAGAAAGAAAAAAGACACATTTTTCTTTTTAAATGATTGAATAAGATAAATATATATATAACCTTTCCGTTACCACCCTCCATATTTATTATTTTTTTGCCTAAATAAACGATAGATGATTCTTACCCGATAATTGTCAAACGAGTTAAACAAAAATGAATGCGATTAAATGTGTAAAATATAACAGTGCAGAAACAGAACACATTGAATTTACACTGCCATCTATTGATATTTATTTAAATGATTTTTTTATTTCTACCTGATACCTGATGAAACCATGGACCTGGTGTACCAATGGAAGAGTCGAGCCTCTGAATATAATAAAAATTGTGGTAATTGGCTATGAATTGGATGAAATATTAAATACGAGTAAGTAAAGCCATAGGCATTGACTAGTAAAGGAAGGAAAATATTTTGCATTTTTTTGTTTTTAAGTATATTTAGTAAAATTCTCATTCATCATTCAGTTTACATAAAATATGATTATTCAAGTTACTTTAATCTAAATAATTACATGTAAAATTTATACCCTGAAGAGCTGTTATAGAGAAACAAAACATGTTCTCATACTCGGGTCAAAGGTAATTTATTTGATAGTTTGCTTATTATTGTATGAATGAATCAGTTAATGGAGCCACCAGGAAACAAGTAGAAAATTTACAAAAAAAAAATCATAATTTTTAGGTCCCACAATTTTTTGACCTTATGATTCCGATAGGTTAAAATAACTTTTGTAGTAAGAAGTACTTAAACGATTGTTTGAATTAACTAATTAATTATGAAATTTTTCTTTTGGAGTATGTGTTGATTTATCTGCCTTAATTCTTAAAATTAATTTGGTAAAAGGCTTAAGGGATATGGTATATGGAAAGAGAATTTATTTGATTATAAAATATAGAATTAAACAGAGTATAAACTACTTACATATATATCACTTGCCCTGATTGTTTCATAACTAAACCGAACTGCTGGACCTAGAAGGCTAGATTTTTGTAGTGTCTTTGCTGAAATGGATAATCACTAAAATAGAATTTCCTATTATTTCGAAGGAGCTAAAATGGTGCGGGCGATGCCAAGTGAGATCGCTAGTTTTATTATAAACTATTAGAGTAAACATTGATATAATCTTAGATTTCTCAGTCTCCATCACCACTTAAGGCACCTCGTGGGTTCAGAAGATTGTTAGCGTAAACAATCAAATGTACCATTATAAAATGTATGCCTGGAGCGGTTAATTTAATGTTCCTTAACAACGAGACGATTACAATAACTTCCCATTACGCTGTAACATGATATTTTTGATCGTTAACATAAAGGCCAAATTGTAACATAATAGATTATTTTTGTTATTTCCAATTCAGGATTCGATTGGTGAAGATTTTAGTTAGATGTGAGTAAGTCTATACACGTATTTATTTCAAAATAATATATTTTGCTTTTAATTAAACCTTTGGGAAGAATATCAAAGAAATAAAATTTACAATCAATATATCAACAACTTGATCAATTAATATATTTTTTAACAAAAATAAAAAATATCACAAAGCTTAAACATGATCCTGTAATAAATTTAATTGAGCTATTAAAATATATTCCGCGTATTAGTCCTTCAAAAGATTCATAATTTGCTGTTATTATTTAACTTTGAGTGTTTGCTTTATCGTGACCTTTTCATTGTTATGGGCGATCCATCTTGTAGGTACTCTATATCTGATAATATATTCAATAGATTTTTAATATTTTTGCCGTTCTGTGAGTGATTATCATTTAACATCAACAATTTCTATACAATGACCACCAATCGATGCAGAATCGTCTGTAGGTTGTCTTAAGCTATTTATTTCTTGAATTCTATACACTCTTAACCTTTTTTTTCGATTTTCATAAATATTTTACACACCAATAAACATAAAAGACGTTACAGCATTTAATTTTTTATTTAACCTAAATATTTAATTTATAAGCGAAAATCTTAAACATTAAGGTCTCTGAAGACTAGCACTCAATAAAGCGGGCGAGTGATGTCTATACTAATATTATAAAGAGGTAAAATTTGTGAGTTTGTGAGTTTATGGGTTTGTGAGTTTATGACGTTGTAGGAGGTAATCTCTGGATCTACTGAACCGATTTAAATGTAATTTCGTAAGAAGATAGAAGATACTTTTTATCCCGGAAATTATCCCTTATGAGGGTGAAAACGGGGATGAAAATTTGTAGTGGGATATATAAAATATAGGATATAAGGTAGGGACAAACTCGAGCGAAGCGAGTGTGAGTCGCTAGTCAAATGTAAAGAAATTTAAAATAAGTACCATAATTGGTGTAAGTTTGATTGTTACATAAGAAAAACCACATATTGATTATTTAGTTATTCTAGTTTAACACTATTACGCATTATGTAGACACTATAGAAGTTTAATAATAAATTTTAATATAATTTTCTTATATTTCATATAGTAATGAAAGAGCGTAAAACATTTAAGCATCATAATGATTAAATCGTATCTTATAGGTATTTGAAACTTAAGTTAATTTGTAAAATTACTTTAATTTTCGTAACACGCACCATTCCCAAAGTTTATAGTCACATATGACATTTACGAGCAATATAGAATGTCAAAATATAATATTTGACCGCAAGAATCAGTTGAAGATTGATGAGTTTCTGTGTATTATGTATGGATATAGGCGATCGACATCCTCCTATAATTGACTTATAATAATAATTGACCCCATTAGTGAACGGTTTTGCAAGGTTTTGAGATAATTAAGAATTTGTATAGAACACTCTGGTTTAAATTTTTAAGTTAAATTAGATACAGTTTGTTTGAAAATGCATATATTTTGTGACTTTACACAGCGATGGTCGTCTGTCGCGTTGAAATTTTGGCTAAGTTTCTACCTCGAAGGTATAGATTCATCTGTGCAAGGTAACTATATAAGTAACTACTTGTCGTATTAATTTTATTTTCAAATAAATAATATTTCCACAAAGGCTATATTTAATTCGATATATATTAATTTGTTTAAACAAGAGATTGTCGTGTTGTTAAAATAAATAGCGCTCACAAGGAATTTACATAATACAAATTAGTACAAATTATGTATGTAAAGTTATTAATTTATATACATAATTTATCTAAAAGAAAGAACATCTAACACATTATTCTACTATTTATTTCTTTTGGTCTTTTGTACAAAATACTATATGTATTTCTTTTAAGTTGACAATTTTCAAACACATTTTCGCTTTCGCTTTACGAGTATATGTGTTGTATCTTTTAATGTAATTGATCGTATAAAATGATACTTATTATAGTTTTCAATAGGTACATGATAATATCTGAAAATATTAGTCTGTATTGAAAACTAAATTAAAATAAAAATTTTACTAAAATTTAACTACCTATTCTCGATTGAGACGTGGTTTTTTATGAATATATGAAACATAAAAGGTGAAATTGAATATGAAGTCGATGAAAAATATGAAAATTAATGGAAATTTGTCTCGGTTTAAAAGTCAAAGAGCACATGGCGGTATAAATAGAAAAATAACTTTTGTAAATAAAAATTTTACCACTGGAATATAGCTTTATATGTCACATTCCGACGGTTGTTTACATGCAATTATTAAAAAATATAAATACACATAATTTCACACTACACTTATATAAATGAACCCTTAACATTGTACAAATATGTTTTAACACGGTGTAAAAATGCAGCTGCACAAATGTCATGAACCGTGACATCTGAAGTGGGTTCGTGATGCATCTACAATCTAAAATATGCATACTAAGTTTGTAACATTACCTATATATTCGTAGATAGGATAATCAGGATTTGAGATTCGAATCATTGAAGTGTTCGATATATTGGACACTATTAAAGTGGGAATTATCGGACTATGTATTATTATACTAGAGGCTCGCTATCGCTTCGCTCGGGTTCGCCCCTAGCAAAACCAAAACAAACCTATCCCACGGGAACCGTACATTTTTCCGGGATAAAAAGCCTATGTATTATTCCAGACTATAAACTATCTCTGTGCCAAATTTGATCCAGATCCGTTCAGCCGTTCTGGCGTGAAAGAGTAACAAACATCCATACATACTCACAAACTTTCACATTTATAATATTAATACGGATGTAGACGTAAAAAGCAGTGCGACTTAACGGATTAAGATAAAATTTTGTGCACAGATAGACTACACAACTAGGTGTATAACAGTGGCCTATCTATTATTTGTTAGACCTAGTTGTAATACACTGCTAGAAGTTTTAAAGGTTTTTATTTAATTGTATTGAAGAGCATTAATTAATAAATAATAAAGTTAGTAGTTTGAAGTGAACTGATCGTAAATATTTTTTGGATCGTATTATAACGTGTTTTCCCGTGGGAATTAGATAATCTCCCGCGGTAAAAAGAAGCCTATGTCACTCTCCAGCCCTCCAACTATCTCCACACAAAAATCACGCCAATCCGTTACTCCGTTTCGACGTGAAAGAAGGACAAACAAACAAACACACTTTCACATTTATAATATTAGTATGGATTAGTTTAGTTCTTGTCAAAAATAGATAATTTAAGCTGTAATCTCTTATGAAAGTCTCCTAAATTTTAATTAATTTATTTTATTAAGTAATAACAATCCCTCGACCTTTGCTCTCGCGCCTAGCTATTTTAATGACTAATTCAGCCATTGTGATTTCATAATAAAAAAGCCAATATAAAATTAGTTTTCAAGGTTAATGTAGCTTTCTATTATTAGAAATAGTTTTGGAGATTATCTCATTATATATTACTAGCTGACCCGCGGCTTTGTTCGCGCTAAAACTACAGAGAAATCTCTAAAAAGGTAGTTTCATACAAACTTTCATCTCCTATTTTACCCCCTTATAGGATGAATTTCAAAAAATGCTAAAACACGTATTTATTTAATTTTAATGAAAAGCATTAATACCAAGTTTCAAGTAATTCTGATCATAAATATATTTTTTTATTGTATTATAACGTATTTTCCTGTGGGAATGAGATGATCTCCCGCGGTAAAAAGTATGCCTATGGTATGGTAAAGCCTATGTCACTCTTCAGCTCTCCAAATATCTTCACACGAAAAATCACGCCAATCCATCACTCCGTTTCGACGTGAAAGAAAGACAAACAAACACACAAATAAACAAACACACTTTCACATTTATAATATTAGTATGGATATTGATGTGTGTCATTTATAATATATTTTTTCTTTAATAAGTGTGACATGTCACACTTATTAAGAAAAAAAATATACACCATTCACATAAATGTTAAGTAACACATGACCTCTAAAATCTAATATAATTTTATTAAATAAAATGAAAGTTTTTAAGGTGTATCTATTCGTCTGGGCTATTCGATAAAATTCGATTAAAAATCTAGAAGAGCCATAACCATTCAAAATAAATGCCTTATAAAACGATAACAAGGTCAAATAAATAAGGCGTGTCACGTAATGTATTTCGATGTTTCATATTTTATAGCTCGATTTATCTATTTATAGGTCATCACTTAATAATTATGTTTTAATATTGATATACATAGTTAAAAAAATATGATTATAAAATGAAACTATATATTTGATACAAAACGAGTATATTTATTACACAAAAACATTATTTATAATGTAATAATCGGAATCATGGACGTTTTGGTGTATGGAATTATGAACAAGAAATGTTCAGAATTTCTATAAAGAAGAGTATGGTAATATGATTTTATAAAATGATAAATTTATAAAAGAAAACTTTATCACAAAAGTTGTACGTAAATACCGCTTAGTATCAAAAACGGGTACTTGTTTTAAAATAACATCGTGTCAATGAAACATACAAAATTCATTACTTATATTTAATTTCAGCATTCGTTTACAGGCTTACTTACTACAAACTTTTTACTACGACATTTTTACAATACATTTTCTACAGATCGTACCCGCTTTTAAATAGTAATTAATTGGCAATAAAATAAGGTAAATGGCTATAGCGCTGGAATTGGCAGATTTAGTTTTTCCTTTTTTATTGTGGTTGATTTTTGATTAACGTTTTCCTCTCAACGGTTGGGCTGGCTGTTGGTTTTGAGGCTGAGGATTGGCAGCAATATATTCTAACGCCCTCAGGATCGCTGGAGGGATTGGTGGTGGAGTTGGAAGATGAGCACCCTGCAAAATAATATATAAATGAATAAGAAATATAATTACTATACGTAACAATATTATTGTAATATTTAATTGTTTTATTTAACTAAACTATATTTACATATTTGCAAAAAGTTAAGTACTTATTTTATTTGTGGAAACAAAATTTTATTATTGTTTAAGCTTTACGTAATCTATCTAAACTTATAATTGCTAAGAGAACCCAATGCTAATGTTACTTAAGTTATACGTGATGCAGCATTCGACATGATAATAATGAGACAATACCTGTCCTACAAACAGATGTAAATATATTTTGGTAAAGGATATGGTAATATTATGCAAAGGACTGCTCTTGTTACTAAACTTGTTATACTAGTTTTGTAAGTACATATGTATGTAAGTACATCGAGTGCATAATAATGACCATATATATGTAAGAAAAATGTATAAATTAGATTTAATATCATCATATGAATTTAGAAAAAAGCTTATAATTTATATTGAAAAGCAATAAATTAATCGAGTACTTAACAGTGAAATTTATGTACTTTTAAAATATTATCAATATTAGAATTCAAAAATATCTAATTGATAAGACAACACTGTTTTAAGTAAATTACAACATTTAAATAGTTAAATAGAATTTTACGCTAATATATTATAGTAGAAGATGTGATTTATGTATTATAAATTTAAATAAGTGCGATTTAGATTCCGGTAATCGAGCTAGCATTGCGCAGATGCTATAAACTACGAATGACGGTCAGTTGGACGGCTGTCACAGATAAAATGAAATAAAGAAATTCATATAGATATCGACTGCTCAACGTTTCCCATTTCCCAAGACAGGTCACGGGTCAGTATTTGATATTTTGAGACGACATTTACACATATATATATTGGCTAACTTACACCCGCGCCTGTTTCATAGGACACACACACAGACGTCTTCCATAGGTCTTTACGCAATATAGATGATTCAGGCACACAAGTCACTAGCACTTTCCATACAATTTGTGTTATGTACTAGAACCACTCCCAAGCATTTTGATATTACGATAAAGAACTTGTTACTAAAAGTTTACCACCCACTTCGTATACTTCGGATTCCAAGAATTGTAAATCATAATAGTTATCATTTCTCAAAATATTTTACTTCTAAGAATAAAATTATTTTGTAATATGTGTGTGAAATTTCAGGTTTTGTTACTCATAGAGCTACGTAACTTCAGTAAGTAGGCAAGCTGAGGAGATTTATTGCATATGCAAAAAAAGAGTTTTAGAAGATATGTTCTATTAGCCTTTCTGCACACTTTATCATCCCTTTAATTTGATATCTTTATGCTATAACCTAAAGCTTTTCTGTTCACTAGGTCAATGCTGGTTACGTAAACGCGAATATAAATTTGGACTGAACTATTCGCAGTGATATATGAATTATAACGTCTTGCAAATATTATGGCCACAATTGGTTAATAAATTTTTATTGTTCACGAAGAAAAATGTATTTTAACTCAGATATATTTTACTCTTCATTTTATATTACTATAAAACTACGTTGTAAGGTGTTTTATTGTGCCGGATTCCGCGACACATCTGTCAGAACTACATTGCGATTATAAGTAAGATGTCAAGGATTTTATATGTCGGTATAGGGCAGGATGAGTAATGTTTTAGAAGATAATAAAGGTTTATTTTATTATTGTGCATTGTGCAATTACAATTTTGTATTTATTACTGTATAATAGATTTATATGTGTTTATCGTATCCTATTAATTAGTTTTATAAATGTGAAAGTTTGTGATATCTAGATTTTTGTCGTTAATTACCAATGACTTATAAACCGTAGGACGGATTTCGGTTGCAATTCAGGACATAGACAGGTCATATTCTAGACTAATATAATATATGGATTAGAGATGGATTATTCCCGTAGAATAATGTTTAAGAACTTAAAGGTTAACATTATTTTCATTCTGCACTTATCAATTTTTTGTTGCAAGTTGCAAGACAAAAAACACACACAATAGCTATAGCTATATTATCTTTTAGTACACAAAAGACACGATTAAAAATACATAAAAATAAGTCCTCACCTGTGGCTGGAAGCCATTTTCATCAGCGATGTACGATAATGCAATGGGTGTACCATCAGGTGCCTTGTAACTGACGCTGCCTTCAGCTACTTGTATCTCTTGACCTTCACCTTTGCCGAAGTTTTTCACATATCCACTCTCTTGGGCCGAGATCTCGTTGCCGGTTTCGAATCTGAGTAACGGAGATAATTTTTTAGAGTCATATTTTGTTTAAAATTAAAAACTAAATGTATTGTATTGTTTTAATACTTTGGAAAAATATTAATTTATATATATATCTCGTGTCACGGTGTTTGTGGTCGGACTTCTCCGAAACGGCTCGACCGATTTTAATGATTTTTTTATGTATTTGATAGGTTTGAGAATAGGTTGTAAAGTATTTTTCACCCTCCTACCCCTTTTTTAATCGCGATTTTAGTGTGTTTGTATGACAATATCCAAATAATTTAATGTTACATATATAAATACATAGGGACAAACCCGAGCGAAGCGAGAGTGAGTCCTTTCCTATATAACATAAAGAAAAAGAGCTTTTTTTGTAGATTGAACGCGGGCGAAGCCACGGGTTCTTCTAGTTTTATTACAAGGATAGATATATTATCAATAGTCATATAATGTTAAGTATGGAAATCACTCTTTTAGTGTAACTTCAGTTAATTGCTAATTAAAAATTAATTTAAAAAATCGCAGAGAATTTTCAATAAAAAAAAATATATTAGAACTGTTGTTTGTTATAAAAAAGAATTTATATATCTTTAGAATTGCCATGTATTTTAGTATCTTAATTTGACCTTATATGGAGGTTATTTATTACTAGAAATGTTACATATTTCATTTGTATACGTAACTTATTTCAACGCCTACTAATTTACAAGTTTGGTCACATACTTGCTTAACTTTTATTGCATCTAATGTAACGTAATTTTAAAATTTTGGAAAATTTTGAAAATTTTTCCAAAATTTGAAATATGTGTTGATATAATTTTATCTCTAAATATGTGTTGATATAATCTTAAATTTGTGACATAATAATTAAAAATAACAAATTTACGTGATTTAATCTGCGCGAAAATAAAAAAATAACACGGACCTATCGGCAGTCATCTAGGAAATCCTTAGTTTTTCCAAAGTTGTCCGACACTTAATTAATTAAATCCAGTTTGCCTCAAAATTTCATACCAAATAGTTTCCGCATAGCAAAAAAAAATGCAAATTTAGTTTATAGCCGTGAATAGCAATAATCTCTTTAATGGAGGTAAAATAACCAGTGTCCGTCACTGTAGCTACGGCCACCGCAGCTTAAAAGCTAGCTTTGAGCTTATTTTGAGACGTCCAAAACTTTAGTATTTCCTGTGACCATGTTTCTTAATAATTATTTGAAACGGGCACCAAAAACCAAAATAAATCCATGAAAAAATCTAAAAATATAGTTGTATTACGACACGTTTGGCTCAGATTGTAGTGGCCTACTCGCTGTGCCAGCGGTCGCGGGTTTGAGTCCCGCTTGGGGCATTCATTTGTGCGATAAGCACAAATGTTTGTACTCCAGTCATGGGTGTTTATATTTATAATATGTATGTATTTAAAGTTATATATGTGTAATATATCAACTATCTGGTATCCATAACACAGGCCTTACCATGGAACTAGTTGGTACTGTGTGTTAATTTCCCAACATATTTATTTATTTATGTTTATTTATTTAGGCTAGTGAAATAATTAAATTTGAAAAATTAATAGATATTATTTAGATTAGATACTACTCGTAATAAAATAGTAAAATAAAAAAGGGTTCGAACTTACTCATAACTAGGAATAACGATATAAGTTTTCATTAAATAAAAATATATTATGTTTAAACGCTAAATCTTATTTGTATAGGTGTAAATTCTACTGAGCTGCAATATATTGTTCATAGTATTTATGGCTATGCTATCACATTTTTACTAAATAAAAATGTGATTATTAAAGTACATACTTTTGTTAGAGAATATATTTAATTATTTACTCACGCCCATTTGTAAGAGCCGTCCACATTTGGTCCATCGGATTCATATTTAAGTATTGGTATCGGATCATTTCCTTTTTGTGCTTGCGTTACAAAACAGCATGCCGCTAAACATATAAAAATAAACGAGATCTGAAATTAAAAAAAATATATTAATATTATTTATAGGCTTTTCTGTAATATTTATTCGAATCGAAATTGTACTTTGTAAAAATAGCTTACAGTAAAAAATAATACGTTCTACTTTTAACTCATTATATATCAATTTTTGACACTGAATTCTGTTAATATCTTTTAATAGTTATATTTTTAGCAATCAATAAAGTTTTAAATTAATTAGAGATAACGTTTATTATTTTCATATTTTATTTTATTTTAATTTATGCAATTGTTAGTTTAATGTTTAATAAAAAGCCTTATACAATTTCGTAGCAAAACAACCGAAGCGCAAGTTATGAATATTAAATTGTAGGTGTCTGAAGGAATATTCAAATCAATTTTTAATCCTATTTGGCTGTACTCATTTTCGTAATAGCTCGCTTCATTCGAAGCTTTTATTTGATGTACTTTTAGATGATGATATTAAGTACCTTCCCTTTATAATGTCTAAATGTATTTTAAATGATATTTAGTGTTGTGTGTGTATGTAATTTTAGGTTATATATTATTATATACATTGTACCTACATATTATTATATTAATTATATAAAATAAATAGACATTTTTACATTTGCATTTATATTTGCATTATTATATATACAGATGTACCTAGATGTTTGGTTCACGATAGGTTCTTTCTACTTTACAAAAAAATACGCAGTAACAGGTAAATCATAGAGAGAGAGAGAGAGAGAGAGTGATACAGATTATTTTTTAACATCATAATGTCAGACTACAAAGCAATTGAGCTGAGATTTACAATTAGATCCTATAAAATTTTACCCATATTATGTAATTTAATTGTTGTAGAGAAAACTAACGAAAGCTTGTTTTGTACGTAATAAATTAAATAAGTACAATTTACTTTCCCATATAACAATAAACCACGTGCGTAAAATTTTCAACCGCTTACGATGTTTTTGCGGTTCGATTTCTTGAAATTTCATTTTTGCTCAAATCCTAATAAGATCCGTATTATAATATATTACAGTTATTATAATATTAATCCCTCCACGACCGCGGACACGCCAGCGTGTCAGTTAACAATAGATTTCTTGGGATTTTAATTAATTTCTTAGAAATTTATCTGGAGGTGTTATAAATGTGAAAGTTTGTGAGTATGTATGGATGTTTGTTACTCTTTCACGCCAGAAGGGCTGAACGGATCTGGATCAAATTTGGTACAGAGATAGTTACTTTTTACCCCGGAGAAATGTACGGTTCCCGTGGGATAGGTTTGTTTTTTTTCCAGGCGAACCCGAGCGAAGCGGGAGTGAACGCTGATATAAAATATAATGGATAATTCTATTTTATAAATGAATTTTTGAAAAAATACACAAGATTTTTGAAAGTTATGATTGAAATTTTTATGGCGGTTTTTTTTATTACCCTCGCTTTTCTCGGATGCGGTCCTAGGTACGTTTTTTCTTTGAATGGAACCTTAATTTTTTTTTCTAAAATAAAAGTAGCCTAAGTTATTCCTTATAATATCAGCTATCTGCCAGTGAAAGTCCGGTTAAAATCAATCCAGCCGCTTCGGATATTAGCCGGAACAAAAGACAAACAGACAAACATTTTAAAAATTGTGTGTTGTGATTGTGTTCTGACCAGTAAAAATTTCCTTATGACTAATAAAGTTACTTAATATTTTATCGATGGTCAGGTCGTCTTTCGACGTAGGCCTCGAGGCCTAGGAGGAGGCTGCAAAAATTAGTACGATTTAAAAAACGCATGAGATGTTACATGTAATTAACTTTCTTATGTGATTATTTCAATCGGAATTAGAAAGTTCAAAATAATATTAATTAAAATACAGAACTATAAAATGTCAATCAAAATTTTAGCCCTCAAAACCAAGTTGTTGTTTGAACCAGAATAAATTCAAATAATCTAGCACCATCCCTAATACAAATCACAAACACATTATATAGAACGTAGTAATTTATTTTAAATTACATAAAATGTATGCAAAATTCTTAAACTTTATTATAATTTTAAATCTATTACAATCATTTATTATTTATTATCAATAAAGCTCACCATGATGCTCTTTAACAAAGGGCGAAGTCAGGTCTGGATGCTATAAGATGCACTACAAGTGTGTGTACAGTGACACCGCCTTAGGTTTATATACCAGCTTCTTTACCTCTGAACTTAGAACGACCTGAGCGCATCCCGATGTTTCATCTACGCACATAAACTTACTTATGAATATATGTATTTATTGAACGCACACATTAGAAATATATTTTAAACAATAACCAATGGAAATCTATTATAGGCAATTACAAAATTTATTCTAAACAAAGAATCTTGGATTAGAATTGGTTGTTTCTTAATAATTTTGATTGACTATAGATGAAGGTAAGGTTTTTTGAATATATACATACTCGTGTATTGTAGTTATGTTAGTTTGTGTTGAGCGGAACTGTACACAAGTTGTTTGCTATGGTAAATTATAGCTAAATGTTAGTATATACACTCGAATTTAATAATTATATATAAGTCTATTGAGATTTCTATTTATATGTTTTTTTTTATTTCTTTTTTATTTTTATATTGTTAAAATGTCTACTACAATTATTTTGTGCTGTTAACGGTAGCACGAGGAAATGATTTTAAGGATTTTTAACTTTCAGCCGAGACTCCGAATCGTGCACTTTTTTCATGTAAATAATTCAGCTCTCATTAATATATAACAAAAAGAATGATCAAACAAACAAACAAACACTTAAGATTTACAATATATTAGTACAGATAGACTATATACTAGAGACTCACCCTCGTTTTGCTCGGGTTCGTTCCAAAGTACATTTTATTTATTTTGAGCCCTAATTCTTTTACTGAAATAAAAGTAGCCTATGATACTCCTTATAACTTCAACTACCTACACTGAAAGTCCCGTCAAAATCGGCCCAGCCGTGTCGGAGATTAGCCGGAACAAACAGACAAAAATTTAAAAAATTGTGTTTTTCTTATAAATATCGTACATAATTCCATAATATGCATTTAATAAAAAACAGTTATTTTGACATTACAAACAGACATTTCAATTTTATTTATCTTTATGTATAGATGATATTTCTTCAAGTGTGTGATAAAGAACTTATAAGCTTACGGCTAATAAACATTCTTGTCAACGTACATATTATTATATTATAAGTGTCCATTCATTACTTATAAATCAAGCAGACCATGGAAGAAGATACAACGCACACCAATATATAAGTATGTGGGTGAGTAATAAACATAGGCGCCTATTAGAAGGGATAAGATGATTATTTCCGATTAAGTTATAATTACGAGTACTAGTTATATATATATATATATATATATATATATATATATATATATATATATATATATATATATATATATATATATATATATATATATATATATATATATATATATATTACCTTTTTTGTATTTAGATATGAGATTGAGAATCGCTGTATTGCAAAAAAATTATAGAATATTTTTTTCAATCATAACCTTCAAAAGTATAAATTTTTTTTTCAAAATTAGTATCTTTGTTTTGGTCTAATAATGTGAGTTTTCGATTTGAAATAATACATTGATAATTTATTTTATTTTAATCCATTTCCAGATATAAAGAGAAAATTTACCGACAAAATGTCATGCGCTGTCTCTACATTTCACCTGAGACCAATAGGTCGTTGTCAACTCAATAATAAAATTTATATTATTAATCTTATATAAAGATTACCAGTAAAAGTTCAACCGATGTCATAATAGAACTTATGAGTTATTAATGAAAATGGAAATAAGTTTTATGGTAGACGATTTTTTTTTACTTTATTCATATTTATTTATTTATATTCATATGATTTAGTTATAATTAATATACATATATATGTTAGTTTTAAGGTATATATTATGCTATGGGCCTCTGTTTACGTATTTAAGATCCTTATGTAAATATTGCCTGAAATAAATGATTAAATAAAAAATAAATAAATAAAAATAAAAATATTCTCAAATATGGTATTTCTATTAGTGAAAGCGATAAAAAAGGAGACTAATTTACAATAAGTACATATTATGTTGTGATTATTCATATTTTATAACAATAACTTTACAATAAAAATATCTTATAAAATTATGTAAGTAGTTACAATTTAAACGAAAAAACTAGTTCACTCTCATTATTTTCGTTGCGTATGAAAATTTATTTACGTGTTCTTTGATCTCTAGCCTTCACTGTTAGGGGCATCTAGTGGTTTGCAACATACTCCATACATATGCATTTAAGAATAACCAGACATTAGGAAATTACATAAATTTTCTCGCAATTTTATATGTTAGTATATACATATTGCATTAAATATTAAATATTTTACATATTTATTACTTTAGAGATGTTTAAGTTTCCATTACCAGGTACTGACTCGCATGGTTCATATATAACTTGAATACTACGAGTATGTCAAGTTCACTATTATAAATAAATCAAGACGTGATTCATGGCAAATAATAATATAAAAATATTTAACAAAAAATGATAAATTGACTACAAAATTACTCTGATAAATTTTTAATTTTGGGGTGTACATTTAATATTTGTATATATTTCTTTGGTATCACGCGATATTTTTACTAATTAAGAACTGATTTAGATTTTTCTTTTCTAATTAATTAAGTTCATATGTTTTGAAAAATCCACATAATGGTGGAATTTAAAGAATTTTTAACATTTAAAATAATTTTGAAATCAATACACGTTCATCGTTGAAAAGTTATTAAATACATTAAAATTACAAATACGAAATAAGATTAAATCCACAAATCAAAAATAATTTAATTTTTATAAGATTCTTGTGTAGTGTAAAATAGTCAAAGTAATAATAGCAAGAGGAAGGTTTACTAAAACAAGTATGTACGTACTGTGCGCACTCGTATTAGTAAAGTAAAAATATTTTAATGAAATCTATACTAATATTATAAAGAGGTAAAGTTTGCGGTAATCTCTGGATCTACTGAACCGATTTAGATGAAATTTAGTAAAAGGATAGTTTGAGAACCTGCGAAGGACATAGAATACTTTTCATCCCGGAAGTCATCCCGTGAGGTGGTTAAAATGGGGATGAAAGTTTGTAAGGGGAATCAACCTAGGGACGAACCCGAGCGAAGCGAGGGTGAGTCGCTAGTACATAAATAATATTTTAAGTGTCTATCTAGTCTAGTAATAACAATATCCATATAATTTATTGAACTTATATAAAATAAATATTTCACGCTATTTCCACGAAAAAAATCATGTTAATCTGTACAAAATGAAGATTTACATGAAGAGGTCGGATAGTGAATGTTGTAACAGAGTTCTTAAGCTTGTGCGATGTCTATCTAATAATAAAATCTAAAGCTGAAGAATTTTTTGTTTATTAAAACCAATTTATCTCTGGATATATTAGCTCAATTAAAATAAATCTTTTTGCCTCTTATAGTCTATTTATTTTACATCACACTATGTATGACCTACGAGAGCAGAGTAATTCTACAGAATTAATCGACGCGGGCGAAGCCACGAGAAAATGCTAGTATTTAATACGATTATTTAACGCTTAAAATCAAAACTGCGGCAATGCCTTATGCCACTTATGAAGGATAATTTGAAATTAGACATTAAGATCGAATTTGTATTTGGAATATTACAATTTGTTATTACGTTTCTAGAAGAAATTATACTGTACAGTCAAAATTGTTAGTTAAAAGATTATACATATCGAATCATGTGTTATTTTTTTCTGACATAAGAAATTAAATTAAAAATTACAAAAATAGTTTTTTTTTGTTATAAACAATTTAAAATTAAAGCCATTTCAATGAGACTAAGCACGATGTCTCTGTAGTATTTTAGTAGAGTCGTGTATCTTGCAGATTCCAGGTGACGCTGCAGCATAAGGTCAAGGATACCATATTGTTGCAATGACATTGTAGTAACGGGATAACAAGTATCGAATGGATTAGATCTGTGGAAGTTCATATCCTTTTACCACAGAAACAGTCTCGAAAAGAGTTGATAGCCTAAAAACATATACAAATGACAGCAGAATGGATTTTCCTGATTTATAGCTAAACACACTCTCGATTAAGTGACCATTCAAAACACATAAAAAAAACTAAATTAAAATCTATTCATCCGTTTGAGCGCTACGATGCCACAGATAGACACACAGATATGCAGATATATAGATCACACATTTAACTTATAAAAGCCCTCTCTTGCGTCGGGGATTAAAAATAATGGTTGTAGGAAATTCATACCTAATTTGAAAAAAAAAAGAATATTGAAAGTAGTGCTGTTATGTCGTAGACATACATTAGTTGCATTGCCTACTGTTATCGAGGGAATAATTATTTAAAGTATCCTGCTATATTAGAAATCGTAGATTCGATTCCTACATGAGAATAATATTTAATTAAGTATTTTAATTCTTGTATATTTTTTTTTTTTTTTATTTATTTATTTTAGGTCGCTTTTTAACATCTAAGGTCATTAGCGACCACATTGGACCTAAGTTACATACAATAATTTATATCAATTGGTACATGTTTATCATTTTCAAAAATTTAAGAATTCTCGTACAACCATCTTGATTTAAACAATCCCTTAAATTATTTGGTACATTACATAACCGTTTCTCATTATTATATGCTGGACATTCTATCAAAATATGGTATACAGTCAAATCTAGACCACACTTGCATTTGTTTCTGTCAGCCTTAGTTATTAAATGAATATGTGTCATATTGGTATGACCAATACGCAATCTCGTGATAACTACTTGATCTTTTCTACAGTTAAATAACAGAGGTGATTTATCAAAAATTGAATTCCTAACATTAAATAATTTTGATGTGTTTCCTGTCTTCCAAAATGTGTCCCAGTAAATTTTAATTGTATACTTTATATGTTTATGAAAATCACTGTGGGTTGGTTTAATTATATTAGAAATATCATTTTCATTAGTGGCATTTCTAGCTTCACTATCAGCTTTTTCATTACCAGCAATACCTTG